TGTCCATTACCTAGTGAAAGTGTGAATGTTACAAAGAACTTGAAATCTTGAAGGTTTTTTCGCGATCACGTTTCAAGTAGTCTGAACGTAAATTGACATCAAATGTGTCATTTCACTTCCTAATTTGGTCTGATCTGGGCTTGAGTAGGCTGTAGGGCTAAGCTAATTGATATAATCAGATGTGATACATCTGAAATGAGGGTTCCATGTCCAAACATTTAACAACATTTTGGTCTGAGAACTTTTTTCTAAAGAACTTTTTTCCAAAATTTAATCTTTCACCCTCCACCACCTCCAGTCAAAACTCTTCTTCAGAGTATTTAGGAGGAAATGAATCCAAGATCCAAGAACAATCGACCTGCCACATTTGCCATTAGATATGAAAAATAAGCATCAAGTATTAAACACCGAATACAATGAGCATTTGCCCTTTATATAATATCATCAACATACCTTTTGGAATATTCATGAAAAACGTATTCTTGTTTGATTTAGTTTACCGTTTGAAGAAAAAAAAGATCTGTCTGAAGAGTCGACCTATCTGGGCACATATACGTTTACAAACATATATTTACTATCCAAATTTATGGAATGCTAAGGAAACAAATAGCGAAAGACCTAGTACGCATTCGCAATTTGGCACAAAACATAAACTATTATTTTACAGCCATGATAGTATTTACCACATCATTCATGTACTGTACATGTATGCCTTCATGTGAACAAGAATGAAATAAAGAGATCAGTAAATATATATAACTATATACACCTGTATATATCAATAAGGTGAATAACACAATTTGTGAACATGCTCATTCATTTACGCTACTGTGGAAGAGCATCGTAAACAATTTTTCCCTGAAAGCCGGACGGCTCTTCAAGTGGCTTCATATTCAAAATTTGACAGAGACAGCTGAAGGTTGTGGGACGCAAGTTTCAGTTTCAGTTTGTGTAGTCCCATATATCATATACACAATTTTTGTGTAAAGTGCGTGCAACCTTTATGCCTCAGTCACACCTCTGCGTACTCGGCTTGCGTATTTATGGCAAGACGTTTTAACATTTATTCCTTTTTCTTGATATCAAAGAAAATTGAATTCTTGATATCAAGAATTACCATTGCTTAACAACAGAAAATCATTTCTCGATATCAAATAAAAGGAATAAATGTTAAAACGGCTTGCCATAAATACGCAGCAATACGCAAGCCAAATACGCAAAGGTGTGACTGAGGCATTAGCCAAAGTCTGCCCCATTCCTTATCATTTTTGATGATTCCAAAACTCGGTGTACACCAATACTTATCCGCTACATGATCCAATCGCTTCAACACAGTTTCTTTCATATAACAATCGCATGACTACATCTTGAATCTCAACTTTATCTTTGATTAAATTTCTACAACGCTCTACCACAGTAATGGCAGTGACGGTATACTACATGTAGTCTTGTTCGATCAGTAAAGCTCAATTTACATTGGTCCAATTCACATCCATCTTTGAAATTAATACATATATCTGTTTTCTTTGAACGCTGGTAAGTGGGCTGGCCATGTATCAAAGATAACATTGACGATAAAGTTGTTTTTTAGGAAATGTAGTAAGTCTAAAAAAAACATTGTTGAAGGCTCACTAGCACAAGCATAGATAGTTGAAAGAGATAGTTGTGTCACCCTATATATTTTCTGATTGATCAGTATTTTCACAGAGCTTTCAATAGTTTGAGTAGAGATCATACATGTATTTGTGAGGGAACTATTGAGAGCTTCATGATTTTGAGCCATTTCAGCGCACACGTACATTTACGCATACCGGTATATAGGCATGCCAAAACTATCTCTCTTGATGGCATAAATCAGTGAGCGACATATTACACGTTATCATTTTATCATTGTTATTATTGGAATATAACGGACCAGCCCTTAAATATTGTTGGGATGACCGCTATGAAAACGTGACTCACAAATATCCATCAAACTATTCAATCAAACAATTGCACGTACTGGTAGATTCATAAATTCTGAAAATGTCGTCTCCTCCACGTTATTCACAGAAGATTATTTCAGGGCTGATCTTGCAAAGAAGGTAACGATTTCATGTCTTGACGATGACACGATAAGTACAAATGCAAATGATTTAATCAATTTAAAAAAAAAGGGGGGATCATATTACACATGATTGCAAAGACTTATAACATATCAACATTCATTTGAACTGCCTTGTTCATCATCTACATGTATCCTTTTGAAACGCGCACAGTTTACAATGAAAATAAATATCCTATGAAATAGAAACATTCTCTATTTATAAGCAACATAACGGGTTACTGAAATTGACCTGGAGTTGATTTCTTGTAAGGCTTTGCAATAATGTACTCAGAACAGACAGATAAAACACAGCAATACTATTAAAAAAAAACTTTAAAAAACCCCCAAAACCCAGCACTACAACTGTACATGTATGTTAGAAGCACACAAAACTTTGTTAAAACTTCCTAGACTCGTTTGAATAAATGTAGCTTAAAGGCATCGTTTAACACTGTTAAATCTGAGATGCATAGCCCCAAGTGTTATCAGTGTCTGTGATATGGTGTAATAATCAAGCCCTACACCAAAAAAAAAAAAAAAAAAAAAAAAAAATCGCTTCAAAATGATTATGGAGTGCCTTAGAAAAGTAAGAATCTTTGAGTGACCGGTTTTACCATACCCGGTACTCATATACCCCAATAGACTGTAGTGATAGGAAATTTTGATTTCCAATCATAAATATCTTGATAATCAGACAGGTGATCGGCTTGTAAAAGTCATAGGGTCCCTGACTGACCTAAAGGTTTATGATTATCATTGCAGCATGAGCTAAATCCAAGATTTTATTTCAGAATCTGAGAAAAAATTACACAATCCCTTAAATAAAGCACTCGCATATTTTTGGACTTGTGTGATTTTGTTAATAGTTTTATAATGTCTATACAGGTTTCTTAGCTTACTGAACATAAAGCAACCAGGAAAATCAAAGCTTGTCATTCTCCTAAAAAGTTAGAGGCAGTAGAGGGCAGTATAGCATAATTACATCTTTTTAAGCATTAGTAATCATCTCTGACACAGAGGAAAATAGAATGGACATATTGGATAATTGTGCTCTAGGTAATTCCTCTCTATATTCATCAACATTTCCTTCTTGGATTTATGAAATAAAAAATGATGCATCAAATTCTTAAAACTCCTATCTTAAGTATGTTTCATAGCTAAGAGCTATGCATAGTGCTGTACGATGGGGCAAAGGAATGATCAGAATTAGGATCTACATGTATGCCACGAACCAAATGTGTTCTGCATTTATGTCTCATTCCTAGCAAAACAACCATTAACTGAACAAAGAAAATAGACTAATAGAGTTGCCTAGACGTCAACTAGGTTTATATTGTAATAAATAGTGAAATCTTCGCACACACATATTCTTTTGTCCAGTATGGAGTATGGAGTGATATCTCGACAAACACATTCCTATCCAAAAAGGCAGATACAGTCAAACCTGTCTATAGCGACCGCCCAAGGGAAACACAAAAAGTGGCCTTTGTAGACAGGTGGTCTTTGTAGACAAGTTCCTTCAGTGCATGTTTCAATGAGCAACCATTTTCAAGGGACACAACAAATGTGGCCTTTGTGGACAGGTGGTCTTTGTAGACAGGTGGTCACTAAAGCAGGTTTGACTGTACAAGGCTTGAAACCTAACTAATAATAAGCCTCAAACAAATCATTCAATTTCAACTTAAAGTTTACCTATCACCTATAGAAAATAATTAATGTACAGTTAGAATTTATAAAATCTTCATTAACAAATTCACCTGGTTTTCTATGGGCTATTAAATAGTTAAGAAGTATGAAGAAATAAAGGATTACACAAGTAGGGCACGCACAGAACCCAAATTCTGCGGGCACCCTACATGTATTTGACTGCCAGCATGTACATGTATGGGTGTCGGTGTCTCAACTAGCCTGAACATGATTGGCTCTCATGCTTTTAATTGAGAGTGTATCTTAACAAGCAATATCTCTATACATAAGAGAAATATTTGAGGCTCATATCTTTTATTTTAGTATAGACAAAATGAAACCCATATCATATAGAGCCAAATGTGTTCTGGTGAATGGTACAGGTACTACTGTTATTCAGGTTTCTCATTTCATTATATTTAGTTTTCACTCAATTCTTTGGATTATGAGTTTTACGATTTAGGGCTTTCATGAAGATCAACATTCTGATAAAACAGATGAAAATTGACCATGAACTGGTACATGAAAAATAATTTGCAGACAAAAATAAGGAAACTATGATTTTCCATTTGTTATGAGTTTAAATTCCTTATCAATTCTCCATTTCTGGTTGACATGAGATCAACCAATTTTAAACGTAGTTAAAATCAAAACTAAAATAAAGGAGTGCTGACTGTGCCGATAACATCAATCTAGCATGCATAGTATATAATGTATATGCATCCAATCCTGAACAATAATGCTACAGGATATAAATTATTCAATGGTACGACTATAAATTGCGGTTAAAATATTTCAACAAAATTATAAGTTTGAATGCAGCACAGATCCTCAAATCTATATATATTAAAAATCTATACAGTGTATACATTACAAATCATTAATCCCATTACCCCTAAATTTCATGGTTAGAAGGGGAAGTCAAATACCACCAATAATGAAAACAATAAATACATGTGTAAGTTGCGACAATAAAATCTGTCTAGACGTCTATTAAAGGACTTTGGATATGAGAAGATGGGTGCTGGAGGCTCCATGAGCACCTCCGATATCCATTTCCTTTCCTACAGATTGATTGTGACCAGTGATACACACGACCAGCCCATATTTAAGGCTTGCTCTGATATGGCACGCTAGACCGCCACAAAACTGCCACCACGATTTCTTAATAGATGTGAAAGAATGGGAACTGCGGGCAACAAAGGAATTACGCTTATTCACTGAGCTCTGTGTTGTCAGACAACATACATGTGACGCATTTAATACCTTATGTCATCGTTAAAAAAGATCTCCGTCACATCTGACCAAGCCTTTAGAGATACGTGTAAATATTTCATGATTAAAAGAGCACACATCAATCGGTCCTGTCAATCAAAAGCAGTGAATCTTTGACCAACTAACATCATATCATCACATTTCCTGAGTGAAGTGACCGATCAGAGATACAAGCTTTCACATGATTCTATTCTTGACATAATTTATAGCACATTCACCGCAAAATCAAAATACAATATATTAATTACTATAATTTCAAAGAGATACTCTTGCAGTTTCATTGCCAATTGCCACAGATTGCATGTACATAGGACTTTTGGAATTACCAACTGACATGTGTGCAAGTCTTCTTAATCTTGCATGCACCAAATTGGCTCACTTTGAATCATCAGGTCATTGCGTCGGGTGGTAGCATTACCAAACCCTTTTTTGAAACACGCCCATTTATTCACGAAATATCGGGGGGGAGGGGGGGGGGGTGGGGGAATGTTTGTGAAATAAAACCCTCTCATCTATAAATGGTCCAATATACCTGACACTTTGTGACAACTTTACGGCAAATCTACAAAACGTTGCGTTACCTTACACTTTTGTTACACGGAAGGTTGTGTGGCCCTGAATCACCAAATTAAACCAGGAATCCGATAAAACTCTGTGATTCTTCTAATCCAAGAACTAGATTAAGTAACATGATATTTGCTTGGACAGTTTTGCTAAAAAGCTACAGAATTTTTAATGTTCTTTAGACCCTAATGCAAATTTCTAAGCTCATTCATCAAAAACCAATATCATTTTAGATTCTTTACTGTTTCTGTTTCCTTATTTGGTTTCAGAACCTGATTTTTCTTGACTTACATTAAAACAAAACTGACGAAATCGAATGGGATGAGGTATCCAACAAAACATCAAAAACTAAGATATTTTTCAGACCAAGTTATATAACGTCCTCCTGGCTATGAAAAAATAATAGTCTAGATGATTGGGAACTTTGAAAAAAAATACTACAAAGTAATACAAAAAAATTGGTCCTTTGTAAGTTTGTTGCATTTTATTCTTTTTTTATTTACCACTACTCCTTTACTTCAACATTTCACATGTATTTATTAATTTATACATTTATTCATTACATAATACATTTACACATCAATTGGTACGTATTAATTCTTCCTAGATCTCAATGGCCACAATTAAAATACAGAGACATATATATTAATGTAATACACAAAGGTAGGGTATTCTACTGACGCTTCTTCAGATATTTGAAAAATTCATTTTGTTCTTCTTTAAAAAAAAAGAAGGTACAGACCAAAGCCTTGCAATACAGCCGAGGGTCATAGCCTGGAGATCATCATAGTGAAATATGAAATAATCAGCCAAATTCTAAAAGGCAGGCCAATGCTTGATGTTACAACTAGCTAGCTCTACTCATTCATTTTCTAACCCTGTATAAATAACCATAAATACCTTCCTTACCATCAGTAGGCCTACTTCCAGGCCAGGGCCCCGTTTCACAAAGTCTTTTTTTGATGACAAATGACAAAAATCAGTGACAAATCTGCTGATAACCAATCAGAAGCAAGGATTTCAGTAGCTTATAACAAAGACTGTCGTTTGTCACTGATGACAAGTTTTGTGAAACACCCACCAGGTTTAGTCCTGCTTCGTACCACTGCCCACGGACGCGACTCCGTTGCTGGCACTGCCCTCGTTGTGCTTGACATGCTGCGAGGGTTTCACGGGCTTGAAGAAGCCGCGGCAGAAGAGGACGTACCAAGACGTCTGGAGGGCAAAGACGATCGTCATGGCGATGTGACAGCCGTAGGGGACGCTGGTCAGGACCAGGGAGGGGCCCATCTGCTTGTTGACCGCGTAGACGATGTACATGGCGGGCCAGAGGGCCACTCGGACCAGGAAGAACAGGATCAGGACAACAAGGTTGTTGATAGTGAACATCCAGGAGGAGCCGTAACCATTCTAAAGTGAAGAAAAGAGCCAGAAAAGTGAAATTCCAATTACAAGAAGTAGGAGTAGTAGTGGTGTTTATTTTATCTGACTGCTAAGAAAGCATAAATGCTTGTTAGTAAGCAACCAGAGGACCGATGGCTTTAGGTCCTCTCTGAAAGACCTGGTAATGAGGATTAATGCCTTACAAAAGAGCACGAGAGCATCGCCTTGGTTTCGAGCCTGGGTCTTCGGATTACGAGACTACTGCTCTACCGACTGAGCTATCGCGCCTCCTTTAAGTTGCTTCTATCAGTGGAAGAGCAAGTATCTCGCTGTACCGGTACTGCCTCTCACTATAGTGTTGTTGAAAATGCACAATTGACAAAACAAAACGATACAAAACTAACAATAAAGACATTAGTTTTTTGGTGTCAATTTAAATGCTCTGTACCGCTATCCCTCAGATAGGACTCTAAATGGAGGCCCCGTGTAGAGGAGAGTCACCACCTTCGCAGGTTAAGAATCCATTGCACTATTTGCATAAGAGTAGGGCCTGCACACCCCCAGGAGATACCAGACGGTTTAATACAGTGATTGATTTCGCGTTCAGCCTCCCAGGCATAGGTGACGCCAAATACTTATAATACAAACATGAATCAACAATTATGGTTCCTGTATTAATTGTTAATCTTGCTACAGCATTCTGTATCATATTTCATGATCAGGCCCTTTTAAATTTGAAGAACAATGATCGAAGAAGCTATTTCTTATTAAACAATGTTGGGTAAAAAATGGAGGAAAGGAAGCAATATCCTATAAACTTGCACAAGTCAACTAATATGACATGAAGCTACATGTACTAGGACTAGGGCCTCTAGGCAGCATTGCACAAATCTGTTGCAAATAAAAATACTCTGACATCCAATAGTGTAGCTGATCCAATGTACTGGGTGCTCAAAATGCTATTGCAATGAAAATTCTGTGAGGCAAGTTCACATTTGCATACCTGCCAACATTTGAAAACAAGAATTAGGAATTTCTAGCACGGTATGCATTCGAAAAAAAATAATTCTGTACCCTTAACAGGAGTTTGCACAAGCGCGGCAGTGTAACTGGCAATAAGCGGTTTCTGTGCAAAAAAGTGAATACAAATTCACTGCTCAATCATACAGCCATTCAAGGCACGCAATGCATGAACTCTCTAATCGGGGCACATGATAAAACAATCTTAATTTGGCTTAAGCAATTATTTAAAATAAAAAAAAAAATAAAAAAATTAATTTTTTTTTTTTTTAAATGTCTTAATTTTTAGATCCTTGAAATCCTAAAAATTGAAATATTCCAGATTATTTAGAAGAGTTGGCAGGTATGCATTTGTGGAGGGGGGGGGGGGGAGGGAGTATCAGATTTAATTGTTCTTTTCAGGAACTTATAAATACACCTGTATACCCACCTTAATAAGTATTTTTCTCAGGTTTACGAACGGAGTGCTGAATTCTGTTATATACACGCATCCTACAATAAAGGTTCCTTTGTTGTGACGGTAGTGCTGTTTGGGAGAAAAAGAGAGAAGAATGTTTTAATAGGATTATTTCAGAGGAGAAAATATGTGTGATTTGTGTGCGATGTAGCTCTGGAATTCTCAAAAAGAGTTCTGATTTTTTAATATAATTAAGCCGTACGGAAATCTCACATTTACAACAGCAAATTCCTAAATTATTTTCTGTGAATAAAACATTTTCTCTTTTTTACCACTGGATATTTCCAGCACCCCATATACATGTATCAACATGTTAAATATAATTTCTATTTAATTCCAGAACTATCTACATTGTAGCTATTTTTAATACACAGCAGTTAGGAAGTGACATATACATTGTAATTACTAAAGTATTAAAGTAGGGTTCCAGTTGCATATTGACCTTTAATATCTAAGGGCTCTACAATTAAGTTTTACAGTCTAGGGTTTCGTTTGTGTGCATTTGGACCCTGCACTTTTAATATGTTCAAAGGGCCCTTATTATTGTCGAGCCTAGCAGCAAGACTTCAAAATGTCTATGAATACTCTGCAATGACTTACAAACTGAATTGAAGGTGTCCACAACATTAACAAAAAACAAAAAAATTGAATTAAAAAAATCAAGCTAACGTAACTTCATTAAGTCTTGGTTCATCAGAGTCCAGGGGGGTGTTTCACAAATATCCTAAGTTGAACTTATCTTTAAGTTGGACTTAACAATTATGGAAAGCCGTTAGTATCTTTGAAAACAAATTGTAAAAGTTATTTTAGAAGGCATAAAATGTTGAATCAAATCATTCATATTTTCTATTATCAAGGAATTGTCATGTTCTTGATGTGGACTTTATAACAATTCTCCATAATTTTTTAAGTCCAACTTAAGATCTTTGTGAAACACCCCTCCAGATACGATTATAATTACCAGTATAATGGGGTAGCCCAGGAATGTGGAGATAGCGTGATGGAATATTTCCAGATCTAGTGATTTCAGGAATGACGTCACTCTCGTGAAAAACGGCAGATCTTGCTTGTTCTTCTCTCGTATGAAGACATGGTACATACTGTATGTGTCATACGGCATGTAAGGGTAGGCAAACGCAGCAAAGTAGTTCAATAACCAGTGGCTACAATCAAAAGAAAGGGGAGAAAAAAGAAAAAAAATCATTCATTTACATCATTCATTTACTTCATGATCATTAATTACATGTACAACAGGTTTGCAAGTGAATTATCTAAATTGTTCTGCGCACTAAATAAATAAACAAACTAAAAGTGGACAGAAAGGAGGTTAGGAAAACAGCATAAGTTTATTAATCGTCATAAACTTGTATTGTTTCATTAAAATCTATTTCGACATTACAATGCAGTAAAATAAATCAACAACCAGTGGCTATAATGAAAAAGAAAAAAAATACAATCAATATGACAACAAGACTACAATGTATATAGTATACATAGACTGTACTGTAGGCACTAGGCAGAGAATTTTGGTAAATTGGTATGTACTGTACATGTAGATGTAATAAGTGTTTAAACCAGATAAAAAATTCATTTTTTCAAGTCTATATATTTTAATGCAAAAGTTATGTATATTGAAGCTCTTTTTGGATTGTCTATAAATTATTTTACAAAGAACTCTCCAGAGCCAATGCTCTAGTCTCGTCCCCCCCCCCCCCCTCTGCCCGCCCCCCTCCCCTCCTCATGCAAGATAACTCTTAAAAAAATCATAATAATAAGATGGGATAGGAACAGAAACTCAACCTGGTAGGTTTATTCATCTGGGGTTTCTAGGAAACAAAACTCTGCAGAAACTAATATTCCACCACTTCCTATAAATATGAAAAATTACACTATGAAACTAGAAACATAACTCCACGGCTTTGTATTTGGGAGATAATTAGAAGAGCTGGTAAATATTATGCTAATACTTGTATCAATTTCTCTTTCTTCCATTACTATAAATATTATATATCACATGTAACTTGCATAATGATTAATTGGAAAGCTAAAGGTTGTTACAAAATTGTGAAAGAACTTGGAACTCCCAGTACTGAAGTCACAGCAAAACTTCTTCTTAATAATACACCTTTTCGCCTTTTATGAAATGATTTCCTTTTCACTTAATATTTGTACTTTGCATCATACCTTTCATATGCTATAATATGTGAAAATTTTATTGCAGAAGGCAATTTCCCATAATTTAATTGGAAGAATTTTTTCGTTTACATTTTTTCTTTCAAAATTGTACGGGGTCATGGTCTAATGGAAAATTAACTGTACTTGTACATGTAAGATATTATTATGGAACAATATTCAATATCTTTATAAAGGGGAAGAAAAAGACCCCACATAATATCTGAAATCTTGTGTTGTGAAATGTCATTAACTACGGTATATCTGAAGGTCAAGTACGCACTTAATATCTGCACTTGAAAGGGGAAACCCAGGGATAATATCAAGAAGCTGGTATCCATAAAAGCTTTACTAATTGTGGCTTACATTGATGTACGGTAGAGTTAAAGTAGTATTAATTACGCTGATTGGTGGAGCATTAAGTTTCACATCCTGTTAATTCATTACCATCATTTTAAAGCTAAATGCACAAAGTAATAATAATTATAACACGACATCAATTGCTCATTTCCATTTCAAACACAATCGCAAAGACTTCCAAGAAATGAACTTAAAGCCCCTCTAGAGTGTTGGGAGCCCCAAATTCTCAAAAAATTGATGGCAAAATTTCACTTACATGTACATTGTATCATTATCCATAATAGAGGATGCCATTTAAGACACACTTCTCCAATGATTTCCCCAAGAAAATATGCTTAAAGACAAATGTTGCTTAATACATATTTTGGGTTTTCTGTTGTATACAGAAAACCTACATTTTGTATTCTTTCATCAATAATCGACTTCAAACACATACAGTGTATGTTTTGGAAATCCTTGCAAAATTGTGTCTTAAATGACGCCCTCTTACACATTATAAACACATTTCAGTAAATTTGGCCATCAAATTGTTGGGGCTCCCAACACTCTAGAGGGGCTTTAAGGTAATTTTAATAGCATTTTCCATTAGCTTTTGAAATGCTTGAACACTATGTTTAAAGATGATTTCTATGGGATATTAAATTGGGTATTGAAAACGGATTGCCACGAAAGAAAGGATCCAGAATGCAATAATAGTGATATTTGTTAATTAAACTCTTTGTTGACATATATTTGAATGAAACTTTAGCTAACAGTAAGCTTCAATCGAGATGCATAATTCACCAGCTCCATATCCCAACGATGTGGTTGATCTGTGTGTGATAGAACTCTGATTTTCAACTATTATGCTTTTTGCATTCCGGTCGCATCTTTTTAGGCCAGTATATTTCGCTAAGCTACCATATTGTAATTATTTAAACATATTTGTGGCTTACACCCAGTAAATAAAATTGATTGATCGATCTTGGAACCAGCGGGACTTGAACCTGCATCTACTGCTTGCCGGGCAGCGACTCTACCACCAGGCCATCACTGGTCCATGGCACAGTCACGATGAACTAGAAACAAATACCCAAGCTCTCCTGATTCATTCTGACTTATTAATTTTTTTCTCAATACAGATCGATAAATCAATCTTATTTACTGGGTGTAAGCAACAAATATTATGTTAAAATAATTGAAATTTCTCCCAGGAAGCATTACATTCAGGCCTCTCGCCAAGAAATCAAAAACGCGTGGCGCGACCCGAGGGAAAATTTGACCCCCCCCCCCCCAAAAAAAAAAAAAAAAAAAAAAAAGTAAAAATTTGATTTTTTTTTTTTTTTTTTTTAAATTTAAATTTATTTTTTACAAGTATACAAGTAATTTGATGAATTTTTAATACCATACCTGCCAACCCTTACGAATAATTCAGAATATTCTGTTTTGGGGGATTTCTAGGACCAGAAAATCCGGAATTTTCTGATTTTTCAAAAAAAAAAAAAAAAAAAAATGATTTTTTTTTTTTTTTTTTTTTTTTTTTTAAGAACGCGTGGCGCTAGGTCGGGCCCATCAAGAACGCGTGGCGCGCGCGCCACGCGTTATCTGTGTACGCGAGGGCCATGATTACATTTATATACCATATTGTTATTATTATTATTATGTCTATTATAATGATCGTGTTCATACTCACTCATCTTGGATGATGTCTTTGTATGTAGCCATGACTGAGATAGTTCCCACGGTCGCTGCTAAGATGGCATGGATAATCGACACCAGTCTGTTCAACAATATTGAAATATGAAATTAAGAATACAAGAAAACCTCCATTCAATGTTGCATGTTTGGATAATTCTATTATTTTCTATACTTTATCATTGTCTATTTCCTCTTTGAGTACCAAAGTGGTTTTATACAGTGGCGACTGCGTCCCAGAAAAAACAAAACCGAAAATTATCTCTGTTTTATCATAACTTAATCACTATTATAATTAATAAATGACACATATTTGTAAAGCTTTGATCCTACTCTTTCATTTGATGCATATTTCACACATGAGTGATTACAAATTATTTGAAGAGAGGGTACCAAAAAGTCATTTGGCAGGCGGTATCTGAATTTCTAAGAGAAAATAATATTTCTAGAAAGTTCCCTTTCTGCCCTTTCATATGACACCTTAATCAGGAAAAATGAGCCAGGAATAACAAATTTCTGTTTGTTTAAAGTGATGCTTGCATTTCCATAATTTCATTAAATGAAAATGTTTTCACTGGCTGCCTGCCGTAGCAACAAACAGAGTTGAAAAAAGACTTGACTCCGTTTCGTTGACGATCAGCCATGCACAAAGAAGACGAAAGACTAGTCTATTTATATCTATGCTAGACCAGGGTTCTTGTTAATAGCCGGCAACCGGCTATTTTTTCCGGCTGTAACGGCAATCGTAGCCGGCTGTAAGCCTCTCCAAAAAAAATAATAATAATACAAAAATCACATCATATTCGGTCAAGTCGCTATCTCAAACCCTGCTGGTCTTCAGACTGTCGGGCTGAGCATTCCCAGCCCCGGACTATGGCACAAATTGGGTCATCCTGATAAACAGAGACCACTAATAAACAACATAAAACATGTCTTATTATTCCTCATCTGAACTTGATATCATGATTAACCTTGCAAAGTTACTCTGTGAAGATAGCTGATCTGTGACGTGTTTATATATGCCTTTGCAATGCAATGTTTGCACATGGTCAGGGAGAGAGCTCCCTGCATGTATCATTGCCATATGAAATTATGTGGAAGTGTGTATCACACACACCCAAGACACACCCTGCAATGAGCTGATCCAAGTTAGTGACCAATGAGGAAGGTTCTCTAGCTATGTGGGTGGAGTTTGATACCAGCATAAATTACAGGTTGGTGACCGCGCGTGCTTTCACCGTACCCAGTTCAGTGGGAGGTCAAGAAGCCACGCCCACAAGTGTGCATGTGACAAGCATGAGCTCTCCATCTGTGTGTATGTACAGTGTATTTGGGCGCCGGAGGTTTGTGTGTACATGTGTGTGTGACTGAGAGAGCACGCATGGGCTAGCATGTCCCTGCATGTCGTGCATGGACGAGGCAGGGACATGAGTAAGACAAGTAAGACAAGTGAGACTCGATAGAAAGGATGGCTGTGTTAATCGGCTGAATTGAAGAATGATCAAAAACTTAAATTACTCACAATATCCAAGACTTTGTTGATTGATATTTCTAAAAATTCAATTATTATTGTTATCAATATTTTTGTATTTTATTTATATATGAACATTATTTTAGGGGGCGAGTCGGCAAGGGATGGATATTAATATTGAGAGAGAGAGAGAGAGAGAGACTCGGGGGAGAAGGGATGTGAGAGGAACTGACCATCGAATGTGTAAACATTTAGAAAGTTGTGAGCTGAGAGTGCAGTAATAAGAAAAGGTACATGAGCGATGAACACATTGCAGAGAGAAGGGAATAAAGAGGGTGAGAAAAGAGAGAAGGGGGCTGGTTGTTTTATTGTTTACAAATTCATTCATGGGAATTACTGCTGCCAGAAAGCTGGCGCGCAGCGGCCAGGGTGTAACATTACACTGCGGTTTCTTTGATTATCTTTATCATCGGCTATTAGCACATTCCAAAATGTATGCAGATAACGGTTAACCGGAGCGAGAAATGAAAACGGTTTTGATGAATGCGGTCGTATAACCGTCGGTTAAACGGTTTGACTCAGGCCTAGTGTGAAACTGTGATTGATTTGGCGATGCACGATTCGATTCAGAATACGAGTGCTGCACAACCGGTGCGGCACGCTATACACATACACTGTCACAGAGACTAGACCGTAGACGTACGTTCGTAAACAAGCTCAAGCCAGCGAACTCCGCTCGCAATAATTTAAGAGGCCAGCTCCAGAGCTCGCTCTGCGTCCAAATGATCACCCGCATTGGCATTGCTATTTATACTTCGTAATCCTAAGTTAGATCTACCGTATTGTGAATAAAAAATGAAAATTTGTACTCATATGTACTCAGAACTTTGTCCAACACCGATATAATCCTTATATCTATTTGATAATTGTTTCAATACAACAACAAAAAGGTTTTTTTCTGGATCTTTTCTTTTCGTGTTGTAACATTTTTACTTTTACTTTTAGCGATCTATTTTACCGATTCGAAAAACAGAGGTGGCATATTGCATATAAACGTTAAGCGCATGGCGATTGGAAGAAAAGTACCGAAAACTATTTTTTTTTCGTAGGCCTAGAGTCTATAGAAATAATTATTAATTATTTTTTTTTTTATTTTTTATCGCAAACGATTTTCTTCACTGACAAGGTCCTGTAAACGTCAGTTAACCGTTTTTGCCCAGGACTACCTTGTATCATTATCATGTAATTCAAAATTGTAGATTCATCACAAATATGATTGATTTATCAGAAACAATAATGGAGCATTTTCATTTCATATTGTATATCATATGAAAAGTAAGTTATTCAGCCAAAATATTCATGATCTTTATCATTAAACTATGGCTCATACAGTGTGGTCATATCTTCAAAAATAAGGCTAAGATAGCACCAGAGAGCATCTAAAACCCTAAAGCTTCCAGGGCCCTTGGGCGGGCCCTGGACCCCGGCCGCAAGGGACTTCGCGCTCGTGATGTGCGCTACGCGCACAGAGATTTTTCTTTTGCAATTTTAGTAGCCTCCTGTAAATCATAAATAGCCTGCTATCAGAAAAATTAACAAGAACCCTGTAGACAGACAAATCTGTCTGAGAACACCGAGATTACTATTTTGGGTGTTAAAGGCATTGTTTAACAATGGTAAATCTGAGATGGAAAAGGTTGATATTAGAATACACTTTTTCACAGGTTACACGGCAAACCGCTGCACAATACAAGAGCAGACCGATGGTGGGTTGCGGGCAGGCGTGCACCTGTGTGAAGGATCTGAGACGTTATGGTAGATAACTTCACACAGGCGCGCGCCCGCCCGCAACCCACCATCGGTATATTGTATTGTGCAGTGGTTAGCCGTGAAACCTGTGAAAAAGTGTAGGATCTAGACTATACTAATATCAATATTTTTCCGAAAAATTATCCAAAAATAACAAGAATATTGACACGAGACAGGTAATAAACACAACAACTTTTAACTCATGATCTTTATTTGGACATTTAATGAATATTTACTTCATTTTGGGTATGTCTTAGTAGGGTATCTCCACGCCGGAGTTACGGGTCAAATTTTGGATTGGTTTCTGAACAAGTGCCGTTTAGGCTAGGCAGGGGTGATAGTGAGCACTAAAAAAAGTAGGTTTTTTGTTTTTCCCTCAACCACGCCCCCCTTGAGTAAAAAAAAAGAAGAGGATTCGCGGGGAAAAAATGGCATCTAACAACATTCCCCCCTTTCGAGTAAGAAAATTGGGAACAAAATAGGGAAGAAAAGAGAAAATAAGGGGGAATCGGGAAAATCAAGAAATAAAATAGGGAAGGAAAAAAATCTGGTAAAAAAAAGACAAATCTCACCTCCCTGTTTTAGTGTTTAGGCCTAAATTACTGTTTGTGACAATCTAAGCCTCAAAAGAATGATAAGCATTGCTGTTATAGTTACAAATTAAACAGTTTAAGCCAATTGTTCAATTGTCTGATTTTTCTGCCATGCACTTTTTAATAATTAAAGGGAAAGTCCACCCCCAAAATAAGTTTGTTTCGATAGAGGCAGAATAATAAGAAAATCAGGTGAGTAAAAGTTTGAGCAAATTCTGAATGAAAATAAGAAAGTTATGAATTATTGAAGTTGTGATCAATCAAATACAAATTGGCAACTCTGTGACTTATTATACGAGCTCTCCTTCATTTGCTATGTGCATAATATTCCATAAAATCATGTTTTCTTCGTTATTGATGACGGAATATATACGTTCCTTGCAGGGGGAGTATAGAAACATATTTGCAATTATTATATTTAGGGTGCATGTATGGTTGAAATTTTTCTTGAGGGAAAATGAAAATTTTAGATTTTTTTAGTACTGAGCAAATGGAAGTTGAGCTCGCATGATACGTCATAGAGTAGACCGAATTTTCCGTCTCTTTCGTTCGTTAGCCTCTTATTGGGGTAGGGTCGGCCGGCTCTCTCTTTAGAGACGGAAACCGTCTATACACATTCCCTTGATAACGCCACGGCCATTTCAGGTCGTAGCGTTTTGCCCCCAAAATCCCCCAAAATGTCATTTTACCTCGTGTATATCCAAATGTAAATTAGGCCTAGGCTATAATACATCGGTTCCACTTACTAACTTGATTGAAATAATCCGTTTAATGGTCCCTTTTAAGGAAATTATGGGTCAAAATCGACATCCATGTTGAAAATCTTGCAAGCCGTGTTAAACTCTCGCTGCCGGAGTCATCTATCTAAATCAATCTCATCCCTTCTAGGATCTAGTCTACGCCGAAGGCAAAAATGATTATGAAGGAAAAACTGTGATAACGCCATTACGAACGTGTAGATGGCGCACAATAAGAGGCTAACGAACGAAAGAGACGGAAAATTCGGTCTAGTCATAGAGTTGCCAATTTGTGTTTGATTGATCACAACTTCAAAAATCCTAACTTCCTTATTTTTAATCGAAATTTGCTCAAACTTTCACTGACTTGTTTCTCTCATTTTTCTACTCCTATTAAAACTAACTTAATTTCAGGGTGGACTTCCCCTTTAATAAAACTCTCTCTGTTTCGATCTTTCTCCCTCAGCTTTTTCTCCCCCTTTCTCTATCTCTTACCGCATAGCCGTGCCGCAGGCTCTGGCGTCGGATATCTTGAAAGACAGCAGAAACCATATTAAATGAAATGTAGTTGGCCAGAAAATACAGCCAACAATAAAGTTTGTCGTTAAGCTATACTGTTCCATGGTGGCAACAGACGTACACAGCTCTGCTCTTGTCTAAACTTGAATTTGTAAGAAATTGAAATTGAGCTCCTTCCTAGGGCTAACCCTCGCCACATCCAGGGGAGATAGTGAAGAAGTAAATACGGCAGTGCATGCAGTCACTAAATTTACTTGTGGTCGATATAGTATATCGCAGTGTACACTGCACTGTACACTAGCTGTGTATGCTTTTGTTATTTGGGATCCAAGTTGACTGAAGGTTCTGCCACATTATCTTGAACGCTTATGATCATGCGCTGCCAATTTGAGCAACGTTATTACAAAAATTAAAAAAGGATTAATTTTTTTTTTTTTAAACACAGAAAATCTTCTGTGTGCCCATGCCTTGAGCCATAATGCATGGCCGTCCAGAGGATTTTTTATGTTGGCTAGTGGGCACATTTTTTTTGTTTTTGGCCCTAGGAAATTTAAAAATGTGCACCCCCCCCTCCCTTGAGCGCCAGGGGGGGGGGGGGGCCTTCTCCAAAAAAAGGTGAAATTGACGTTAAAAAATGTAAAAATCCACATTTTATTTCTCAAAGGGGGCCCGGGCCCTCCTGGATCCGCCACTGGGCACGGGGGGGGGGGGGGGGGGGGGGGGGGGGGGGCATGCCCCCCCCCAAAATTCCAAGATCGGTTGAACTTTTTTAGACCTTGATCAATTACATGTATGTGCCCCCCCCCCCCCCCAACATCAAACTCTGGCTACGTGCCTGCCCATAGATCCAACACTGAGCAATCATCTGACCACCCCCCCCCCCCCCCCTCCCCCGGTCCCATGACACTCCGGGACCCACGCCTGGAGCTGTGAATATTATGAGGCACCAAATCTGAAAAGCTCAATATAAAATAAAAGTCCTAAAACAAACCAATCATATCAATCACATAAGGGAAAATTAAGAAAAAGTTATGTCAGGTATTAATGATTATAGATCTATTATCTACAGTTTTTGCATACTAGAATTATTTTAAAAAAAACTGTTAATGAGAAGCCTGTGATTTTTGTGGCTATACAATTCTTATACACTATAAAACAAAAATTAATGACGATATGCATGAGGATTGGATTGTTTTACCTGACTGCTAAGAAAGATATAGAGACCGACGGCTTTAAGTCCTCTCAGAGGGACTTGCAAAGGGAACAAGCGCATTGACTTGGTTTGAAAGCAATTTGCCTATGCCTGAATGGTAAGCAAATTGTCGATAGCCTTTCTAAACTGACCATTTTCTTAAAAATGAACAAATGTGGCAGGCAGTCTGGTTTATACTTTGCTTTAAAGAGATGCACACTGGCAAAAAAATCCCCCCCCCCCAAAAAAAATCGTCATCATCATCATAGGAAACCTTAAAGCCCCACTTTTCTACTTGTAGCTACTTGCTCCCCTTCCCAATCGGTGCCTGTTGGTCCCCCATGATCCTGGAATTCTGGAATAACTTGTCATTTGAAGTCAGGAAATCACCATCTGTAAATGTCTTTAAATCGAACCTGAAAACACATCTTTTTAATTAACTGTAAATCTATTAGATTTTTTGATATGCTTAGTAAGCATATCAGGAGCTCTTGTAGCGCAGTAGAATATATACTTAATGTTGGATAGTTTCTGCTCTCTATAAATGTATTATTATTATTATTATTATCATTATCCTCTTTTCTTACGTTAGTTGAGAACTGAGTTGATGAGATAGCCACCTGTCAGTGACCTGGTGGTCTAATCCCTTCTGGCCCAGTAGTATCTTTTAAACTTTCTTCCAACCTTTTGTTTGAGTATGAGAATAGAATTTTAAAAGATAAATTAAATGGCACTAAATTATTTAAAACGAAACGTTAATCATCATGGGCGAGAATCACTCCATTAGCTCTTAATGAGGTCCATGCTGAGAACGATTAACTTCCTGAATATGTTATCTCATCAACTTCTGTTAACTATTTTAAGAATAGACTAGAAAAAATACTGGTCTATATATATAAACCATGATCTATATGAGCCTGTATAAGCTGATATATTGCAAGATAATTGCACACTTTTGTCCTTTCCCCGTTATTTAATTTGAAATTACAAAGATGATGTATAACCACTGAACTCTGAAGAAGACATCTATGATCATTCAACAGGCATAATTCATATAGCATCGCTGGGTTAAAGTAAAGTACAGGAATGTAAATCTATGACATGTTATAGCATAATCTCAAGTATAGCTCGTAAATTGACAGTTCTATACCAATTCGACCTACAAAAGTCTACCGGTGAATTCAGTCATCTGTGGCGCCGCGCCTCACAATCTGGTAATTATTAACTTTATTTCCACGGATTTGGTTTACAAATTTGACTTACTGATTATGTAGCTTTGTAAAACCAGATTTGTTTCTATTGTATGATATAAAGTTAACGCCGATCAATGTACTTAAATGTCAATATCCTCTATAAATGTGTTACAATAATACGCTCAGTCCCATTAGCTGATGTTCATGTAGTGTCAAGATCTGTGTCTGTGAGCTGAGCTAGGGTTAAGAGTGTGAGAGTGAGACCGAGATAAAGTGAGGCCATTGCCACGGACATGGTAAGGCCTAAGGGGCGCTTCACACATTCTGTGTATCTTGCATCTCTATTTAAATTTTCTTAAACCTTGAAGTATGTCTCGCTTTGAAGCTCGAGTAGGTTGTACCGTTGTAGACTAATTTATGCCTGATTTGTCAAAATCATTTGTGCCATTTTATTTGTGGTTTATTCTGAAATGTTTAGTTTAGTTAAAACTTTAAACAGAAGTCATGAAGGGCATGTCTGCACTAGGTCTACAGACTCAGTGTAGAAATCTTTTTAATTTGGCATTTTGCCTATTGAAGATGTCATTTCTTTTCTTTGATTCTTTCTTTTATTCATTTAGACCCTAGACCCTATTTATTTATTATTATTTTGTATTCTTTCTTTTTTTTGGGGGGGGGAGGGGGGAGGGGTGGAGGTATGTTTTCTCTTCTTTTTGTTAATAAATGTTGCGTTCACCACTTTTAGTCTTTTTATGGCTTTCAGTTTCATGTTAATAGCATCGCGAGTTACGCACAGAGTTTTTAAATTTAATCCCAATCGGACCAGTCAGTGGACCGACAGTCGAATCTAGTAAAAAAGAATTGGGGCCAATTCAACAACAACAAATAAGTAATCTAGAGTATTAGTTTTACTGCCAGATTATCATCTTTTTCTCTTTTTTTCTGCTTATAAAAAGTTTTGATGTAGCAGCAAAATAGGATGTTGCTGAATTGATGAATTACAAAATGTATTTTCTGTTTCTTCTGTCTTGATGATTTCATTCACAGTAAAATATAATGGTTACAATACAGAATTAATAATAATAATAATAATAATAATAATTACATTTATAGGGCGGTGTGCCGCTTTATATAGGCATTTCTAAGCACACAGGTGGTACTGTCCCCAACTACATGTAAGTATAATTATTTGAAATGTTCAATAGCTTAAAAGCAACAAAATAAAATAAAATATTATGACATCATGACATCGGGTATGTGAAATGCAATAAACTTTCATTTTTTTTATTAGCATATCTCATAGATTGATTGCACCCTGGTAGTTGTTCTCAACCAATCTGCACTCATGAAGATGAGAAGAGGGAAATCCTCGGTGGGCACCCCCTCAGCTTCCGGCAGCAAGGATGAGAAAGCGATGCCTCCCGCCTCCATCTCCCCGGAGCCGAGCGTGGACTCCCCGGGCAAGATGCCCCAGCCGGAGTGGGCAGGAGGGAGTGGGACGGAGACGGAGCCCAAGCCTGAGGAAGAGAAGACTGAAGAGGGCAGCAAACCTAGTAGTGGACCCGCGGCAGGTGGTGGTAGTTCAGCATCCCTCCAAGAGATGAGAGCTGAACTTTATCGTCTTGTTAGAGAGACACACAAGGTTGGTTGAATGCTTTCAAAATATCAGAACTGGGCAGCATTTCACAAAACCGTCGTAATTGCAAGTTCGCAAACAACCAATTAAATTGCATATGTTTCAATGGGATGTCGGACGGTTAATTTGTAATTATGATGGTATCATGAAAGGATGCCCAGTTGTACATGAAGTTCAGTATAACTGAGGCCGGAACATTTGGGAAATATGTGTTATAAGATAAGTAAAATTGTATCCAATGGGTCGGATATTTGTTTGCCAGACACTTAATCTCTGGACTATTTTGGACATGTTTGGTTTATGATGTTCCAGAGACATTGTACAGTACATTTGACAAGACAACTAAAGTGGTCTGTTGCATGTTTTTGGAAGTTGACCAAGCAGAAATGGAGTGGATGCTTTTCTATGTATCAAAAATTGCTCGAGAGATAACGAGTAAAAGCAATACAGGTGGTTGTAAGACAGGGCGTCTTGCGAGAGGTGGTCTTTACCGGCATGTACATTTGTCTATTTAGTTTCAACAAAGAGCATTACTCAAGGGATACAAAAATGTAGGTATTTATGGATAGATTAACTTCCATGAATGATTGCTATTTAAAGACAGATTTTGCTATAGTAGTGTGGGTTTGTATGTTACTCTTTAAAAGAAATATTTTAAACTAGCAGTTCTAGCAAACTGTATATTAGAATTGGCTGATTATGTGTACTCTTGATGTAGATTAATGGCTGACTGCAGATGAATAATAATCTCCCCAGCTGTAGGAGAAGAAGGAGGAGGAGGAGGAGGAGGAGGAGGAGGAGGAGGAGGAGGAGGAGGAGGAGGAGGAGGAGGAGGAGGAGGAGGAGGAGGAGGAGGAGGAGGAGGAGGAGGAGGAGGAGGAGGAGGAGGAGGAGGAGGAGGAGGAGGAGGAGGAGGAGGAGGAGGAGGAGGAGGAGGAGGAGGAGGAGGAGGAGGAGGAGGAGGAGGAGGAGGAGGAGGAGGAGGAGGAGGAGGAGGAGGAGAGAATGTTAATTTGAAAAGATGATTAAAGAGCACATCTGACTAACGACATGATATTCAAAATATAAATGTTAACATGCATTCCATTTTTTACAGGGCAAAGAAAGGAGCGAGGTCAACCTAGGTCATATCACAAAGACACAAGAAAGCATTAATCAGAATCAGAAGATATCTCCTTACTACCGCTCCAAGCTACGTAGCCTCTACCAGTCAGCACTGTCAGATGCAGAGAATGAGGCAGAGTAAGTCTTGTTAGAGTCAAAGTGGAGTTTATTCAAGACTTGTGGGGCGTTGCAAGAAAGTTGCGAATGATTGCAAGTTGCAAAATTTGAAACTGATATTTGCAATCGATTGGAACTCAACTTTCTTGCAATGCCCCACTAGTCTCCTAAATTTTCTAGGATTTTGTTAGGATTAAAGTTTTAACAATTAAATCGAGTTAACTAGATCTAGCTTTTATTCTCACCCCTCTCTCTCCCTCTCTCTCTCTCTCTCTCTCTCTTACTGATGGGGCGTTGCAAGAAAATTGAGTTGCGATCAATGGCAAATTAGCAATTAATTGCAAGACTTACGCTTGATTTGGGGGATTTTCAATTGATTGCAACTTACTTGCAAGGCCCCAATGGATATTCTAATTCTAATATTCTGTAATCCTGTGGGGTTGGGAGAGAGAGAGAAAGAGAGGAAAGCTATTAGCTACAGAAAGCAATGAATTCCCAAGTGACTGGCTCAAAGTAACCCTGTAAATGATCATCGGATCGAACGCCGATCAATTAAAATGATCGGAAACAAATCGGCAGAATTTTTTTTTTTTTTTTTTTTTTTTTTTTTTTTTAATGCCGAAAATTTTTAAGTTTTCGGCTATCAAATGCTTTAAAAAAAATCATAGCTGGAATTATTTTGTCATGTGGAGTTGTTGTAGACCATGTTTGTTGATATTTAGTGCCTTTTCATGACTTTGAAATTAATAATATTGGTCTAAGAGCAGAGGCAAAACATGCTTCACCCAGGTTGATGCTGAAGACAAGGGGCCCATTTTACAAAACTTGACATCAGTGACAAATCACAGTTTTTGTTACAAGCTACTGAAATCCTTGCTTCTGATTGGTTATCAACAGATGTGTCACTGTTTTTGTCGTTTGTCATTGAAAAAAGGCCTTGTGAAACAGGCCCCAGGGCAGCGTGTCATGAAACTGCCATAAGTACAAGTTTGCCGACAACCCATTATTAAACATGTGTGTATTATATTTAACACACACTTCAATGTGATGACTGTGAAGTTGTACTTATTAAGGTTTTGTGAAAGGCAGTAGGCTTGGAGAAAGTCAATCAAGGAGATGTCCAACACCACAGTGTGGGGAAAATGGATGTTAAACAATGATAATGATGACAACTGCCCCTTTCAACAAGCAAACCCTTCAATTCTTGTCTTTTGTTTTATCCTGGAGTACACTATGTCTATCAAATGCTTTGTCAAAAAATGCTTTATTTGATAAAAAATGCTTTATTAAAGCGGGACTGCACTACTTGTAGCGAATTGCGCCTTCTATATAGACAACAATGCTTAAGCGGTACTTGTTGATCCCCCATGGTCCCCTTTTCCTTATGTTAATAGAGAGCTGATTTGACGAGATAACCAACTGCCAGTGACCACACAGGGACGTCTAATCCTCTTGGCCACACTAGTACAGATATGCATGGTATTTAACCATATTCCTACCTGTATGTATTTCTTCCTGCGTAGATTGTACAGGAAATCACTGGAGAAGATCACAGAGATCAAGAACATACGCAACGAGCAGCGCCTGCAGGCGAGGAGCGCAGGACTTCACTCCGACTCGGATGGACCTAGGAAGATCATGCGCAGAGGGGTGCTCATGAACATGCTGCAACAGACCGCCCTTACGTTACCGCTCTGGATCGGGCGAACAGGAGAAGAGTAAGTGCTGGGGGGGTGTTTCACAAAGACTAAGATTGACTTTAAGTTGGACTTAACTGTGGCAGGCCATTCATGCCACTGTTTTCTCTCACCATTTACTGGCATTGGTCTCTCAAGGGACGTACAAATCATGGTAAAAAAATCTACAAAATTCAAATTTGTTGATAGTTCATTATTGGAGGAAAAGATATTATCTAAAGATCATAATGGTGCGAGCAACCAGTGGCATTAATGGGCTGATATAGTTAAGTCTAACTTAATATCGATCTTAATCTTTGTTAAACACCCCCTGTAGTCTTAAATTCCTCCTAAGTGGGGGCATCCAGGCTCATTGATTTTGCAGTACACATTATAGGTTTTATTTAGCTCTTCTGAAGCCCCGACTACAGCAGATTAATAAGCAAATAACTACCGTTGGTGAAGATGATGGGACAAACTATCACTTTCGAGGCGATCTGGATGTAGCTATCTTTACGAAGTGAAGCTGAGGAAAGATAGCGTATACATTCTGATCGACGAGGAAGTGATAGTTTTCCATCGCCTGAAACCAAAAGGTGATTATTTGCTTTATATTCCACATCTAAAACAATTTAACTACAAAAAGAAAAGGACGTGTATGCATCTACATGAAAGACACCAGGCCCAGATTCACACCAAAAAAGTTAAAAGTTTAACCCAACCCCTTGAGGGTACGGTGCGCGCATGTGTTTGCTTTAATTGCGCTCATTGGTAATGCGTGCTTAATTACGCCTGTTTTAGTGCGCTTTTGGATAATCTTCAGGGAAAGTGTGTTGCCCTGTGTAGATAGTACCTCTATCTTCAGCGAAAGTGCGTTGCACTGTGTAGAACGAACTTTTTGCTTCTCCCATAAATAATGGGCGAACTATCTTTCATCGGGTGATTTACTTTTGACCAATCGTAGAGCAAGATTCTTAGTATGTGGAATATAATAGCAACTAAACCAAAGAGGAGAGTAGATCACTTCTCTGATGCTTGCTAGCTTGGAACATGCTGGTAGTTGGCTAACATTTTGAAAGTTGAAGCCCCTCTGCAATACTTATAGCTACTTGTGCCCTCTATATAGCAAACAATGCCTAATCAGTGACCATTGGTCCCCCATGATCCTCTTTTTCTTATGTTAATTGAGAGCTGATTTGATGAGATAACCACTTGTCAGTGACCTCGCAGGTCTAATCTATATTGTTGCACACCATTCTTATTCATGTATGATCATATTCTCAAAGGGTCTGGATATATCTCTGAATTAAACAATCTTACAAGAGTCTTCCTGAATTTTAGAGGATCATTCCACGCTGAGTTCTTTTTGAGCCTTGTCATATTTAGATACTCAAGTCACTTAGACACTTAGATGAACCAATGAATTAGAAATCATCAAAATTGTTAAAGGTATAAAAATGAGTTATAGCACTGGTGATTTCGATGTTAACATTTCCCAAAGTTGCCTTTCTGGTCGAAAAAAAGGGAAGACAAGTTTATTGCACAGTAATGAAGACTGGTCAAAACAATGATTAAAAGTTTAAAGTTTACTCGATTGAACCGGGCGATACTCACTTTTTTTGGGTGTATATTGATCAAAATGATTAAAATTTAGGAAGTAATATAGAGGCACAGTAGCAAATTGATTGAGATATTCCAATAATGAAAATCTAAACTTTGTATTTTTGTTTTCCTTGTGATAGAGAAACCCCCCATCCCTGTGTATATGGATCAAAATGATTCAAAATTAGGAAGTGATATAGACGCATAGTAGTGAATGTAGATATTCCCCCCAAAAAAATCTAAACTTTGTATCTCTGTTTTTTTCTTCCGATAGAAAACCCCCACCCCTGTGTGGTGCTGTAGCAGCAGAGTCGAGCTACATCTCCAAACCAGGAGACTACATAGCAGCCAGGGTGAGAGGGAGCGATGGTGACGAGAATTGGATCCTAGCCGAAGTGATCTCCTTCAACTCCGGCACAAACAAGTATGAGGTGGATGACATCGACGAGGAAGGCAAAGAGTGAGTGATATTCAGAGCCATTGTCAGAGCTGCCAACCATAACGTTTTTCCCGGAATTATTCTTTTTTTTCCTCTAAATTACGGTAGTACGTTTTTTTAGAATAATAATTATTACTTTTTTTGTTTTTATTTTGAACATACCGCACATCAAACAACTGCCCTAAAATGTAGATTTGATCACAAATTCATTAGAATACAAAGGTTAAAACATACTTGAAGAGAAAAATACCAACCAAAAAGAATACCTACTTGTATATAAAATATAGGCCTAATATGGAAAAAAACAGCACAAGGAATGGACACTTCTGCATTTGAAGTGAGTCACGCGTAGTTGTAAGTTTTGTTTAAATGAATTTTTTTTTTTTTTTTGCTTGAAATTACTTTTTTTGCCATCATGGTTCCTTTTTTGGTCGTGCAAGGTTGGCAGCTCTACGTTGTAGATTGATTCAGAGTGTATCAGGACGACTAGCCCCAGGAACTTGATACCCATACATCTATCCATCCCTACCCCCACCTCCCCACAAATATTCAACCCCTTGAACAATTTCCTTTTTTAGCACAACCCCCAGTTAACGACTTTTATTAGGAGGTAATAGGCCACTTCGGAGATAGCATCTGTACAAATGACCCCCAAATATCCACAGACTTTTTAACTCTTAAGCTGCCACCCATACAATGCACCCAATGCCACAGTGCTAATCCCTATTGTGCCAGCCAAAAATCTCCTGTGTGCCAAGTTAATTTTAGGGTTGGTTCAAGTGCGTGTTATTTAAATCTTTACAAAAAATAAAATCGCTGAATTACTCAAGAAAATCCAATCTGACTGTTGTATACAAAGACGCGTAATCCAAAGCCGATAATCTGATGCACACGATGGTACTTTCAATAGTGCTGCAAAAGCACTCAGCACAGTGCAATGGGCATGAACAATAACTGTTAATACATATGCTTGCTAGCGTGCACAAAGCAGAGTAGCGGTGGCTCGCTAGCTTGAACGTAGCAACCAATCGATAGCACGCTGGCGTGCACAGAGCACTATAACAATAGCGCGCTAGCAGTCTCATGGCAGGATGTGAGTTAAAAGCTTACTTTACAAGTTGGGTGATTCATTGATATACCGTACAAGGTGAATATATACACCCCTCTTCAATCTGTTTTTCTTCTTCTCATTACACAGGAGGCATCTATTATCAAGACGGAGGATAGTACCGCTGCCTTTGATGAAAGCTAACCCAGAGACCAATCCAGAAGCATTATTCAAGAAGGGAAACGTAGGATTGTTACATTCCTTTTATTCTTTGTATTTGGGTTCGAATTGACATTTTATATATATGTACACTATCTGTGATGATTGGGCTGTAGAAGGGTGGATGATGATAAAAAAAGATCCACTTTAGAGTCTTGATTCAGTTGATCCTAATAATTGTTTTTTCTGCTCTTTGTTTTTGTTTTCCTTTTGTTAGTTTATGAGTGAAGGGCAATTAAAGACACTTAGCATTCTTTTTTTGCAAGGTAGTACATCGCTCTCAGTAAAAAAATCTTCTGTGAAAAAGAGCACTCACTTTGTTCTCTGCATCGACATATATATTTTTTAGACCCGTTATCTTTTCCCCTCCCCATGTCATGGCCGAGGATAGCACATCTCGTCCATCTGTCCTTGTGATGTCTTCAATGGGGGAATCCACCCTAGATTGCTAGGAACATCCCCTTTGTAAAATTTAAGTAAAAACAGAGTCAATTTCCTTCTGGGCTCTCACAGGCGATACAATACATGTAATATTAATTTGTGTGTGTTCAGTTTCCTTTGTCTACTTCAAAAATGTAGATGTCTTTACAATTTTGATAACTAACCTTTCATCTGGCTCATCAATTCAATACTGGAACAAATAGTTATAAAACTCTTGGACTGGGCTACTTCAAGCAGAGCCCCCCCCCCCCCCCCCCCCTCTCCCAGATTTTATGCGCTCTCAAAGAATTCAAATCAGAAAAAGATGGAAATACTTATCCCATTCATGTTATTTTGGACCCACAATTTTTTTTTCTTCTCTCCCTCTCTGTTCTGTCTTACAGCTTGTGATGGCGCTGTACCCCCAAACCACATGTTTTTATCGAGCATTAGTGGAGCGACCGCCAGAAGGGGTAAGAAAAGAAGTTGTATAAGGATTTTTTTGTGTGTGGGTGGCCATTAAATATTACCTGCATACAACTTAACATTGGTGGTAAATTTTATCAATGTTAACTACCATGACAACTTCATTCAATAGCCAATCAAATCAAGGTTTCCATGGAAGTTACCATTCATGGCAAAGTTACCATCCGCAATGATAAGTTTTTTGCAACGGGCCCCCAGGTAGTTTTCTCAGCCACAAGAACTTTATTTAACAAAAATCCACTGTATATCTTCAGCTCCTTGATAAGTGGGTCTGTGGACTGTATTTCCCCATTTTCATTTCAAAATTATGTTTTGTATATTTATATTACATATTTTACAAAAGAAAGTCCTTATTGTTAGGCATTGAATGTTTATATCTTTATTATGAAGCGTCAAATCTTATTCTAATGAATACATATATTTGATGCAGCTTTAATAACTTAATTTGTACAAGTAAAGTACTATGTATGTGTATTGGTGATTGTTATAATTTTGTTGTCTCTTCTTCACAGCCTATTGATGACTACTCGGTTTTGTTTGAGGATAACTCCTACGCAGACGGCTACTCACCAGCACTGAAAGTTGCCCAGAGATATGTTGTCCAAGTCAAAGAACCGCGGAAAAGATGAGGATGTCACCAAACTATTGGAGGATGAATAATCTCTCCAGAACAATCCAAAGAGCAAGATCCTCTATGTGAGGTTTCTGTGGCATCTTCTCATTTTCATCATGAAGATGATGTTGAGTAGGTTGCCATGCCAACAAGGAAGACCAGTTGAGAAAGTAATTGAGGATGCAAATTGTTGGAGGATGAATGATCTCTCCTTGACTTCTACGAACAATCCAAAGGAGCACGATCCTCTATGTGAGGTTTATGTGGCATCTTCTCATTTTCATCGTCATGAAGGTGGTGTTGAGTAGGTTGCTATGCCAACAAGGAAGACCAGTTGAGAAAGTGATCGAGGATGCAACATCTGAGCAGCAGCGAACCAGTAGCCCTACATGTATTTGAGACTCTCCTTACAAGGAATGCCTGTGTAACTAGCCGTCGGCGGTTATCTGGCGATACCTGAAGTGGCTATTTTTTGCAATTGCAGGATATGCATATTTCTAGAAATACTTTGTCATGCTTGCAGAGTCGCAATGGCTTTCATGGTGCCACTTTGCAGGGGCCCTCTCTTGGGTTGCGTGAACGTGTGTGGACATACAAGTCCTCAAGCAACATCAAACAAGCAAATGTCATCACGTCATCATCTGCAGTAGTCTCAATTCTGGCCCTTGTACTGCACATGGCTTCAGGCTATTTCGTGATTCATCTGTAGCACTTGTGAGCTTCATCTTAAGGCTATTTTTTTAAAGCGGGACTGCAATACTTGTAGCTACTTGCGCCCTCTATATAGCAAACAATGCCAAAGCGATACCCGTTGGTCACCCATGAGGTCATGACCCCTTTTGCTTATGTTAATCAAGAGCTGATTTGATGTGATAACAACCTATCAGTGACTATGCAGGGAGGTCTGATCTCTCCTGGCCAAACTAGTGCAGATAGACTTTAAAAAAGAAGAAAAGAGTGTTCCTGCAAGGAATAATAAAGTGGCTTTAGTCATCGTCCATCTTGTCACTCGGTGAATTCAGACTTCCAATAGTGTAAAGCTCACCTTGAATATATGCTTTTGTATACCCTACCCTACCCTACCCTCTCATGTATACTTTCCCCCTTTGTTTTGTAATCAGGTTACATTGATTTATTGTGCCATTTTGTAATATATGTGATACTGTTTCTGCAAGCTGTTTTAGATATATATGCTGCAGGCATTTTTTTTGGTAATTCTTTAAAGCTCCCCGATACTTCTTTATCAATATCTAAAAATGCAATTTAGACACGACTTCAAACACAGTTGAATTTTTATGATTTTTTTTTATCTAATACTGTTTGTTTGGTAGTTAGTACAGGTTTATTTGAAGCAACATCAGTCATAGCCATTAATATTTTAAAGGGATTGGGTAACTTTGTCTCAGACAGATTCTGAAACAAAATCCTGGGTTAGCTCATGCTGCAATGATAATTATAAACCTTTAGGTCAGTCAGGAACCCCATGACTTTTACAAGCCAATCACCTGTCTGATTATCAAGATATTTATGTTTGGAAATCGAAATCAAATTTTGTGTTTTTTTAACAGTTTTCATAAAACTAGTCTATTGGGGAAAACGAGTATGGTAAAACCGAGTATGGTAAAAATGATGTTGTTGATGAGTTTAGAATAAATCGGAAGCGAAGTTCAGAACGTAACAATGTTCGATGACTTGAATACACGTTTCGCTGCATCTTTACAGACCAGAAAACCTCAATTCATCATGGCTCCAACAGCTCAAGTTGCTAAGAAAGGCTCTCGTCAGATTTTTACTTTTTTGAGGCACTCCTTGATCATTTTGAAGCTCAATTTTTGTTAGGGCTTCAATATTACACCATATCACAGACCCGATAACACGTAGGGCCATGCATCTCAGATTTAATATTGTTAAACGATGCCTTCAAAGCTAGTGGACCGTGTTGGCTGTAGCAAGTGGAGGGGGTGGAACAATATGTGAAGATTTCTAAACTTTTAATTGCGGGATATGTTTTTGTTGCTCAAGAAGGAAGGTTTCAAGGATATAATTCTGTATTAACTTCAAATTCACAGCTGAAATTAAAAGATGGTTCAAGAAATCACAAAAAGCAGCACAATTTAAAGGTGAAAATAAGTTTTTCGACCAGACAGATATTCTATGTTTTTGGTGCTATGATCCTATTAGTCTCGAGGCTTATTTGAGGAAAGTTGGTCTTGATTTGGTCTATTCAGACCTTATCTGTGACAATTATTAGTGCTGTGTAGTACTTTGAAGAAGTTGTATTTACTAGTTTGACTAAGAAAGATATTTTACAGGACAGCTTGGATATAATTGATAAGAAAATAGACGCTTACTGACAATCATTTTTGTATATTTCATGTCATTCTTTATTTACAAATGAACCATACTATACTATACATTTGAACAAAAGTTTGACTTTTTACTTTGGTACATTTAGTCATACATACATTGTACAAGAAAATGTAAAAGGTAATGGAGGGAATTGAGATACATGTTATTGGTTGAACAATAATCGAAAGAGAAAAAATTATTTGCCTTATAGGCAAAAACAAAAGATATTCAATATGAAACTATTCCGTACTCAATGGACTATGTAGGAGAAAATACAAGGCACATAAGTGGCATCAAAGGCATAGATTACATTTCTGCACACATAATACATTAATATCTCATGTTCTCGACTCTCATTTTTTTTTGTTATGATTCATTTATGTGAAATTTTCCAAAATTCTTATATGCATGCAATTTTCTGGGTTACAGTAGTACTTTACTTGAAAAGCTATCTGTCAACTCCCATTTCAGTCTGAAAGCATACATTCCTAACAGCAGTTCAATGCACTTTTTAAATAATTTTTGATTCAATTTTTATAGTGAAATACATGACTGTGTTAGAATGAACCTTTACTTTCTTTAGTTATATTATAAATCAATGCCTGGATGAGTGAAAAAAGTTGCATATCTTATTCATTTGTGAAATTCAGTCACATGTAATGAAACTTGTAGAAAAAATATTATTATAGAAGTTGATTGGAAAGTATTCTGGATGTTTTAATATAGTACTGTTTGTGGCTAGAACAACATAAAGTATATCTGGAGTTGTCTTTATGTAAAACTTGTACAAAAGAGAGGTTGTTAGCAAATGTATATTTATTCTGTACATTAAAAGCGATCATATGGCACAAATTCTTATTAATATAATAAAGCCTCTTAGATATTATACAACTCAAAATAAATTAATGGCTTCTTCTTTGTTCTTTGTCGTCATCCGTCTTCGTCATATTCCTCATCAGGGGCACACTGTGTAATTGAAATGAAAGAAGGGGTATTATCAATACAATCATTGATTGTCTTGTTCCATGCAATGTCTTCAAAATTAACATATTTTAATCAGAAAAGTTGATCATATAGCATGTAAGTATTGGTGTGTAATGCAAGGTTCTGGAGTCTTGGTAAAGTAACAATCACTGTACACAGAAAGATGTATATGGGACAACACAAATGGTGTCGGGGCTAGTACTACCTTGATTTCCTTATCTTTCTATGCTCATTACCGGTACTCGGCCAAAATACATTTTCTTCCAAAATTGTTTGGCACATGACATTTATTTGTAATCTTGAACATTCTGATTCAGTGTAAGTTTCTGTAAAAATTAATTTTCTTTTTTTTTACCAGAACTCAAGTTTATCTTTAACAGTTTGACTTGTAAGCAGCGCTCTAGTTGTTTTGTTAAGGGAATTATAATTACCCGGTAAAGAACTATTTTCTATATTCCATCTACGGGATATGAAGGAAAAACGGATGTCCAATAAGATATCGAGGGCACATTTATAACAAATGATTTCTAGAGAAATATGGAGACTTCTTAACTGATCAATCACAATTCCATAACTTTCAAACCACGTGCATCATATTCTTTAACATGTTTTCTTCAAACATTTATGCTTAATCTCATTTACTGCTTCTATTGAGAGCCAAACTGATACATGTACCGACTGTTAAAAAAGAGCTCTCTTTCTCTCTCTCTCTCCCTTTCTCTCTGCATACATAAATCACACTGACAACATTCCATATTTTCTACAGTAAGCAAATGTCTTTGGCTCGTGCTACAGTCAAACCTGCTTTAGTGACCACCTGTCTACAAAGACCACATTTGTTATTTCCCTTGAAAATGGTTTCTCATTGAAACATGTACTAAAGGAACCTGTCTACAAAGACCCCTTTTTGTGTTCCCCTTGGGTGGTCGCTACAGACAGGTTTGACTATACTTACATAATATTCCACAAAGGAGATCTGTCCATCCTCATTCCTGATCATGTACTGTAGAGACAGGAAACCTCTGTTGTCTGTTCGTATGGACACTTTGCTAGACTGCATCAAGGCCTTGATGGAGGGTTTCAACAGACACAGCTTATACCTAGGGTGTGGTTAAGAGAATGAAATTACCGGTAGTAAATATCAACAATGTGTCCATGGCCAATGAACTGAACAGAATCAAGAGACAGGAAACCTCTATTGTCTGTTCGTATGGACACCTTGCTAGACTGCATTAAGGCCTTGATGGAGGGTTTCAACAGACACAGCTTTTACCTAGGGTGGGGTTAAGACAATAAAACTAGTTAATATCAACAATGTGTCCATGGCCAATGAACTGAACGGAATCAAGAGACAGGAAACCTCTATGGTCTGTTCGTATGGACACCTTGCTAGACTGCATTAAGGCCTTGATGGAGGGTTTCAACAGACACAGCTTATACCTAGGTTGGGGTTAAGAGAATGAAATTACCGGTAGTTAATATCAACAGTGTGGCCGTGGCCAATGAACTGAACAGAATCAAGAGACAGGAAACTTCTATTGTCTGTTCCTATGGACACTTTGCTAGACTGCATTAAGGCCTTGATGGAGGGTTTCAACAGACACAGCTTGTACCTAGGGTGGGGTTAAGAGAATGAAATTACCGGTAGTTAATATCAACAATGTGATCATGGCCAATGAACTGAACAGAATCAAGAGACAGGAAACCTCTATTGTCTGTTCGTATGGACACCTTGCTAGACTGCATTAAGGCCTTGATGGAGGGTTTCAACAGACACAGCTTGTACCTAGGGTGGGGTTAAGAGAATGAAACTAGTTAATATCAACAATGTGTCCATGGCCAATGAACTGAACAGAATCAAGAGACAGGAAACCTCTATTGTCTGTTCGTATGGACACCTTGCTAGACTGCATTAAGGCCTTGATGGAGGGTTTCAACAGACACAGCTTGTACCTAGGGTGGGGTTAAGAGAATGAAATTACCGGTAGTTAATATCAACAATGTGATCATGGCCAATGAACTGAACAGAATCAAGAGACAGGAAACCTCTATTGTCTGTTTGTATGGACACCTTGCTAGACTGCATTAAGGTCTTGATGGAGGGTTTCAACAGACACAGCTTATACCTAGGGTGGGGTTAAGAGAATGAAATTACCGGTAGTTAATATCAACAGTGTGGCCGTGGCCAATGAACTGAACAGAATCAAGAGACAAGAAACCTCTATCGTGTGTTCGTTTGGACACCTCGCTAGACCCCATTAAGGCCTTGATGGAGGGTTTCAACAGACACAGCTTATACCTGAAGTAAAGTGGAATGAACAGAACAAAACTTATCGAGCTAAGACTGTTTGAAATCGTAAGTCTGAAAGAGGCTACATGTATCTATCTACTAAAGAGACAAGGGGGTGTTTCACAAAGATCCTAAGTTGAACTTATCTCTAAGTTGGACTTAAAAATTATGGACAGCCATTGGAGTCTTAAAATGAAATATATTCAAAAGCAGAAATTCAAGTATTTTAGACTTTTTATAAATTCCACATCCAGAACATGAACTCTCCTTGATGATAGAAAATATGAATGATTTGAATCAACATTTAATGCCTTTCAAAATAACTTTTACAAAATATTTTCAAAGATGCTAATGGCTTTCCATATTTTTTAAGTCCAACTTAGAGTTAAGTTCTACTTAGGATCTTTGTGAAACACCCCCAAGAAATCCCTAATGTATGTTCGTATGGACACCTTGCTAAACTGCAACAGAGACTTGATAATGGGTTTTGTCACAGCTTAGACCTAAGATGGGGTAAGCAGATTGTAATTGTCTACTAGTTAATAACAACAGTGTGGCAGTGGCCAATATACTGAACAGATTCAAGAGAAAGGAACAGTCTCTTGTCTTTTGTAAGAGGGTCTTCATAGATGTAGTTTGTATCTGAGATGGGAGTAATAGAATACAACCTGGTTAATAACTCTGGTTTAAATCATAAATCTGAAAGGGACCAGGGACTGAAAACATTGGAAACATCCCTTTTCTTTTTGTATGGACACCTTGCTACAGTTGCTAGGTTTATTGCCATTTGGTCTACAGCCAGTTTGTCTGCTACCCAACTAATCTATTCCCATATGGTCTACACCCAGCCTTTCTACTATGTACATGGTCTAATAATGATTTTGTCTGTTTTTCATTTGGTCTAATGTCTGTTTTTCATTTGGTCTAACGACTGTTTGGGCAGAATGATTATTAAACCCAATGGATACCGGTAGTGGACGGGCTGGGTGTGGACCATATGGAATAGACTTATTGGGTAGTACTTGATATTACCTTATCTAGCTAGCACACATAGCTTGATACAAAGTCAAGACCTATCATACATGTATTATTCTCCAAATAGACCATTTCAGATCAACCTCAACAACACATACCATGCCAATGTAACCAGATACATTTCTTGATAGCAGAGTAATAAATCATGACCTCTAGTCCCTACTGAACTGTAATTTGAAACTAATATACTGGTAGGAATCAAGTTACATGTATATCAGTATACTGGTCGTGGAAAGAATATTGGGATAGGATAGGTAAAACGAGGCGGCGGGTGGCATAAGTGGATGACAAACAGACAGACGAAGAAAGGAGTGGTAAGGAGAATTGAAGGACAGGGGAAGATATGGAGAGAAACATAGAGAGGAAAGTGAAGGGGAGAGTGAGAGCAAAGCAAGAGTGGCAGAAGGAGGAGGGAGAGCAAGCGAGTGAGGGGGTGGGAAAGCGATGGAGTGAGAGCAGGAATTGGAGAGCAAAAGAGCAAGTGAGAGAGAATGGGAGAGAGGCCGGAAGAGAAATAGAGAGGGAAGTGGAAGAGAAATAGAGAGAGAGAGGGAAAAAGAAATAGAGAGAGGGAAAGAGAAATAGAGAGAGAGAGAGAGGGAAGAGAGATAAGGGGAAGAGAACTAGAGAGAGAGAGAGAGAGAGAGAGAAGGGGAAGAGAAATAGAAAGAGAAGGGAATGAGAAATAGAAAGAGAGAGAGAGAAATAGAAAGAGAGAAAGAGAGAGAGAGACAAGGGGGAGAGAAATAGAGAGAGAAAGAAGGGGAAGAGAGAGAGAGAGAAATAAGGGGAAGAGAAATAGAGAGAGAAGGGGAAGTGAAATAGAGAAAGAAAGAGAGAGAAAGAGAAAGAGAGAGAAGGATAAAGAGAGAGGGAGGGAGAGAGAGAGCGGTAGCTAGATTCTTACTCACCTCGTGCTCTGAGTCTGTGTGCATTGAAATGACTCCACCATATCTGAGTCCTTGGGGAAATCAGACTGTTTATCGAAAGAGAGAAAAAGAGAGAGAGAGATTGATATATATACACTTCCTTCCACATGACATTATCTACTTTATTGCTCAACAATTAAAGCTTATCTTACAGTTCCTCAGGAGCAGGTTATAAATCTTATATTACACTGTACTGTTCTATTTTTGTGCTGAATGCTGAGGAAAGTGAGGCTTTATTTTACACAAATTCCTACATAACTTTGTCAAGACCATGAGAAAGTACTGTGAATTTAGTAGGAATGAACTACTCAGTCAAGTTGATTGCTTTTAGAAATTTTACATAATATACATGGAATTTAAGGATGGCATATGAAGTTGAAGTTTAAACAATACCGTAAAATATATGCTTGTACTTCCATACAGTCTGGAGAGGGTCAGTTTCAGTTTCATCTTTCAGTGTTAAATGCTTTGCTCACAAGACAATCTTCTAGGTAGCATCACTTAATGACAGTATCCACTTGAAATGGCGATAAAATGCGGTGACATGATAAATAAAATCGCTTATATTTCATGCAATGCACAATACCATGAATGTACAATGGCATCAAAACGATTCTAAAGTTATGATACAGTTGCCTGTTTTCAATCATCGAAGTATCAGTAGTCTAAATGAATTACATCTAAGGAGTAAGGACTCTTGATTAAACAAATGCTTTATCTTGACTACATACATGTACATGTAGCTGTCTCAATGACATAGTATACATGTACAAATGTATGGTTCTATTCAGTAAGATTTTTGTCTGCCAATTGCCTGAAGGGTGCCGAAGGAAATTAGTGTCGCAGCAGGATTCGAACCCGTACCTTGTGGTTCAAAGTCCTGAGACTTGTCCACTAGACCACAACACCTCTACACTTTACATTTGCTACTTCTTGGATGTGTATGCAAAGGTAAAGAGAGAGAGAGAGAGAGAGGGAAAGAGAGGAAGAGAGAGAGAGAGAGAGAGGGAAAGAGAGGAAGAGAGAGAGAGAGAGAGAGGGAAAGAGAGGAAGAGAGAAAGAGAGAGGGAAAGAGAGGAAGAGAGAAAGAGAGAGGGAAAGAGAGGAAGAGAGAAAGAGAGAGGGAAAGAGAGAAAGAGAGAAAGAGAGAGGGAAAGAGAGGAAGAGAGAAAGAGAGAGGGAAAGAGAGGAAGAGAGAGAGAGAGAGAGAGGGAAAGAGAGGAAGAGAGAAAGAGAGAGGGAAAGAGAGGAAGAGAGAAAGAGAGAGGGAAAGAGAGGAAGAGAGAAAGAGAGAGGGAAAGAGAGGAAGAGAGAGAGAGAGAGAGAGGGAAAGAGAGGAAGAGAGAAAGAGAGAGGGAAAGAGAGGAAGAGAGAAAGAGAGAGGGAAAGAGAGGAAGAGAGAAAGAGAGAGGGAAAGAGAGAAAGAGAGAAAGAGAGAGGGAAAGAGAGGAAGAGAGAAAGAGAGAGGGAAAGAGAGGAAGAGAGAGAGAGAGAGAGAGAGGGAAAGAGAGGAAGAGAGAAAGAGAGAGGGAAAGAGAGGAAGAGAGAAAGAGAGAGGGAAAGAGAGGAAGAGAGAAAGAGAGAGGGAAAGAGAGGAAGAGAGAGAGAGAGAGAGAGAGAGAACAAGAACAAATCTTACATAAGCACTGCCCGCATGACCGAACGTAGAGAGTCTGAAGTATGGTTTGTCCGGAGACAGCAGAATCTCAATCACTTCACTCGTCATGTCAAGCTCTTGGAATGCATCTTTCAAGCAATCACTCTATAAAACAAATAGAATGTGTATGCAAAGGTAAAGAGACAGAGAGAAAAATATCTTACTTAAAGATGAAGTTGAGTTCTGGTCATGCGATTGATTGTGAAAGAAAAGGTGTGGAATGCATCAGAAAAAGTTGATCATGTAGCATGTAAGTATTGGTGTGTACTGCAAGGTTCTGGAGTCATCAAAATCATAACAAATTTGGCTCAGTCTTGGTAAAGTAACAAGCACACTACACAGAAAGATGTATATGGGACAACACAAATGGTGTCGGGCTAGTACTACTTGATTTCCTTATCTTTCTATGCTCATCACTCAGCCAGTATACATTTTCTTCCAAACTTGTTTAGCACATGACATTTATTTGTATTAAATCTTGAACATTCAGTGTAAGTTTCGTTAGATTCTGTGAGAATTGATTTTCTTTTTTTAACCAGAACTCAAGTTTATCTTTAAACACTGCCTGCATGTCGAATGTAGAGTACCGAAGCTGTGACTTTTTAAAAATGTATTTTTAGAATTTCTCAATTTTTACTTTATTTTCCGGAGGAGCATAAAAAATAATGTCAAAATGTTGAAAACCAATTGAATATGTTAAGTATTGCCTGAGATATGACCATCTGAATAAAGAGATTTCCTATGTTATGAACCAGAGCAAATAAAACTGAGTTCCTTTAATATTCAGATGGTCATATCTCAGCCAATACTTAACATATTCAATTGGTTTTCAACATTTTGACATTATTTGTTATGCTCTTTCGGAAAATAAAGTAAAAAATTGAGAAATTCTAAAAATACTTTTTTGATGACATAAACAATTCATAAATAAACACTTGGTTTACTGGAGGTAGGGAGGGGGGGGGGGGGGTCTTTGCATACTTTGAAATACATGCACCACATTTCAAGCTACACACTTTCTGCCTTTTTCTTCTTGAAGTTTTGAACATCTTTAGACACCAAGTTTATGAGGGGAGCTCAAAAAAACATAATACAGTCAGGGATAACATCATTAATTTTATCACTTTTTTTGGCCCTTGGAGCTTTGATGAGTCTATAAAGCAAAGGAGACTAATGCGACAAGCAGTGTGAAACTATCAATAGTCATTACTATCTGAAAGAGCATGTGCATTCTTTTCCATCATATTAACATAAATGCATGAGTACAGAGGATTACAAATTACTGGAAACAGTGATAAATTTGTTATAAGAAGCTCAGATGTGCCAAGTCAGGAAGATTTTGGCATGTACTGAGTGCAACAGTGGGACTCAGATGAATTCATGAATATATTTTATACCAAATAATCTTTACCTTCATAATGATTTTATTGACGACGTTAGCACTGCAGAAGTTGAAGTCCAACATTTCATCCGGTTCCAATGTCTTGATACTGCAGTCCGTCACAACACCACTCTCTTCAAGCCTGTTCAATACCGAGAAGATATTGCTATTATCAGTTATTGTACATTTGTATACTTCATTCATCATCATCACAAATATCCGACGTCTTCTCCCTACTGATTCTCTTTAAATATCAGCAGTACCTTTTAATTCTTAAGTGATTGATAAAATCAATAATGAAGCTGCTACAAACGAAACCTCCTACCATCAAAACTTTAAAAATAAGAGCTATAGATAGAAACAAAATTGTTGTTAAATATAATCCTATCAAGATTAAAGATACAAAAATAATCTCCAGCCTAAGTCAATAAATACCTGGATACAGAAAGTAAAAATCATCCGCATACAGGTAAGTTTCTCCATGCTTTTCATATTTTTCAACATATTTTGTTTTTTTAAATAAATAACAAGCGAGCAATTTTTTCTCTCCAGATTTGTTGATTTGCCGATTACCAACAAAGCTTGAAGACTTCCAGATTGCTGTCAAAAATAAATGGGAAGGGGGGGGGGGGGGTGGGGGTCATCCCTAAACTGAATATTAAAGCTGACTCACATGAGGAGTAGAGGAGATCCATAGCCCCCGTATGACATCTTCAGAGCGGGTGTGGCGCCTCCCATGGGGTTACTACCAAAAATAGTCAGACACTCCTGGACAGACAAAAAAAATGAATGGAAATCAATGCTCCATTGTTCACATATAAATATTCCGAGATAGACACAAACAGCCCACACGGCACATGGTGGCCACAATCTATGTCTGGACAACCCCCCCCCCCCCCCCCCCCCCCCCCCCCCATTTCAAGATTTCTTGATGGTGCTCATGCATGGGCGTAAATCTGTAATTGATACCTATTGTTCAGGGAGGGATGATCTATTCATTCATCCCCCCCCCTGAACAATAGGTATTACATAAGGATTGACGCCCATGGGCTTATGCATACAGACTAAAGAAATCCCTACTCAAAAGAAGTTAGTTTGGAAACCTGTCTAAGATTCAAAGGCATGTACAGTGTACAATTACAATGAAGAGACAAAAAAACACATCATGACTGAAATCTGAACTTTTCCTTCTTCTTAATAAAAATATTTTGTATTTAGCTAGGATGCCTTGCTCACTCTTTGAATAGCCCTTGCAATGAGAAACCTGAAGTCCACTTCAGTCATGCCAGTTTGTTCTGCTTTTGAGGTCCTATCACTGGCTATATGTATACAGTGGCCTGCCTTATTCTGACAGGATTCAAAGTCTCTCCTCCTTCACTGAAGCTTATATGAATAACTTGTGTAAGTAGGTAAGCAATTCCAAGGTACACATTTGTGGTCATTTTCTATCCTGCATGGTATACATGTATGCTAACATGTGAAACAAAAGAAATGTGCATAATTGACTCTACTTCAACATCATCTTTTTCCTTGATTTGGGGTTTCATCCAACCTCTAGTAAAACTATCAAGTATCAACCTAATGCAATCTTTTATATAGCCTGTACTCAGTATAGTGAGTAACATGGGATAAAATACCTCAGAGTTGCCCATGACTGGACATATTAAGTTACTAAGCGTCTAAGCCTATGGGAATTAGAGAATTCAGCAGTCAATGAGCTACACAGTCAAACTGCTTTAGTGACCACCTGTCTACGAAGACCACATTTTTTGTTACCCTTGAAAATGGTTTCTCTTGAAACATGTACTAAGGGAACCTGTCTATAAAGACCACTTTTCTTTTTTCCCTCGGGCGGTCGCTATAGACAGGTTTGACTATATGCAAATGATCTACCTACAGATGACAAATTAGGAATGCTGAAAAACATACCAGTAGCACCGAGAGGTTGATTTTGAAAGTAGCAGTATCCTCCTGCATGTAGTACTCCTGGAATATGTTAGACTGGATGAAAGCATTGGCCTGGACACACTTGGCATCCTCCACCGTCACTTTAAGTCCGTTCTCACTCGCACAAAACGTAGCGAGCTGCAAAACAGATTGGGATAGACAATTAAAAACAAAGCTTTGTTTCATTGCTATGGATTAATTCTTTAATTAGTATTCATTCATTCTTATGTATGTTAAGTTATTTCTATTCTTTATACGTTTGTAAAATGTGAGCAAAACAAATTTCCAATATTGGACAATAATTTGGAAATTGAAATGTATGTATTATATTTTTGCTAGTGCTTTGACCTCTAACGCACATTGCTTTCTATATCGCACAAATTCGTTAAAGTCTGAGGGAGTGCTGGGATTTCAGAGAGCCACTCACTGTATTAGTATTACAATTACATTTGTTACCCTCACACCCTTAGAAATGTACACCTTCCTTTAAGTTTTATTATTGTTGAGATTTATGGCTTTCTTGTCCAATGAAACATATTTTCTGGTGCCCTCTGGACTTTGGCATACTTTTTAGAATTATCAGTCTAAAAAATGTGGAAAGTGATGAAAAATGCATCTAAATGTAACATGATGAAAGAAAACAGAAATTCAGAAGAAGATAATTTGAGATATTAATTACTAAAAATCTTAGTAAGAGATTAATTGAAGAATGAACTATTCAATACCCTTGAATTGTTTGTTGCCACACTTTCTTAGTTCCTGTCCTGAGTAAAATATGTTGTACATGTGTCCTGAGTAATGTATCTCTAATATGGTTTTTAAATATCGGAGTTTAAACTTTCGCTTTTGAATGAAAATACTGTGCAAGGTTTTTAAATATTAATTACACAATAAAACTATTTTACACAGAAAGCACTCTGTATCTGAAAACAACAAATGCAGTCATGCTTAAATCTTCCTTTTTGAATGAATAATAATTTGGTATCTCTGACACTTAACAGTGTAGGAGGAGGAAGAAAAGTCGAAGATGAAGGAGGAGAAGATGATGAAAAAGAAGACAAAGAATAAGAAAAATATGTAGAAGAAGAAAAAGAAAAAGAAAAAGAAGACAAAGTCAAAGAATAATAAAAAATATGTAGAAGAAGAAGAAGAAGAAGAAGAAGAAAAAGAAAAAGAAGACAAAGAATAAGAACAAGATGGAGGAGGAGGAGGAGGAGGAGGAGGAGAAAAAGAAGAAGAAGAAGAAGAAGAAGAAGAAAAAATGTCACTTAAATTGTATCATAACACACTTTTGCCTTACGGGCTAGGGAATAAAATGTGATAGTGAAATCAGTATCAAAATTTAAATTATTACTTAGCCCTAGCAGGTCTAGATAGCAGGTCTAGATAGTAGATCTACATGTAGGCCTAGACTAAGGCTATCCGACTCCTTCAATTATTTTCATCTCACTCTTTTCTTTCTTTTTTCACAAGTCTTCTTCTTCTTCTTCTTCTTCTTCTTCTTCTTCTTCTTCTTCTTCTTCTCCTTCTCCTTCTCCTTCTCCTTCTCCTTCTCCTTCTCCTTCTCCTTCTCCTCCTCCTCCTCCTCCTCCTTCTCCCCCTCTTCCTCCCCCTCTCCCTCTCCTTCTCCTTCTTTTGCTTTCACTTTTCATCGAGCTCAAAATATATTACAAAAAAATATATCATACAAAAAATTACAAGTCACGTAACATTAGTTATCAATAATTATTAGTACAGCCCCACCTACTGCATTTCTAGTTACTTAGACTAAATTCACAGTCACACTCAAGATAAATTCAATTACTTTTTATAATCTTACCTCTCGATCTTTAAAGTGAATAGCCTTCAGTACCATGGCTACATTTCTGGCATTGTCTACTCTCAAAGATAACACATGTTGTCCGTCTTCGTCACTTTGTTGAGTTGATAAAGACATTTTAATCTTTCCAAGTTGCGTTGCAGACCGAAATTCTGAAGTTTGAGCTTACCGCGTGTTTGCCGTCCTCTCTCGATCTTACCTGTAAACAATAATTTATTCATGCCCTGTTTATGGGAAAGGGGGAGAGGTGGGCAGGGGGAGCTTTATCTAAAGCACTCATTATTTCCTTTACTCTAAATTTGTTAAATGTAAATTACCTTAAAGCGAAATGTGCATACGCGGAACCAAAAAGGAAGGAAAAAACAAGGGTACAATTAGGGGGGGGGGGGGGTAGTAGGCCTAATAGCCTTCCATTTTGTTTTAAAATATAATTCTATTACTAAATTTATATCTGTATTCATGTTTTATATTCTTTCTCTATAAATAACTATCAATCTTATCAAATAGAAAATGAAAAAATAGGGCATATTCATATATTTAATCTTTCATATGAATAAAAATTAATCTAAAAAATTATGTTTATCTCTCTCAAATTTCTGAGTCACCATACTGGTCCTTTCCTCAAATGTACTGATCATTATTTGATTTCACAATAATTGACCTGTTATAGAAATCTATTAATAATTAACAGGAGATTAAATTGATATGCTTACCGGTACACATGGGGTGACATACGGGTATCTGATTACCTACATAACCCCTGGGAACATCTGAGAGAGGCGCGTTGACACAAAGAGGGGTGCCCCGGCATGGGGACAGGGGTCGATGTGCCAGTGCATTAGTTGGGATCGATACGTACATCACCCTAGCAACTCGAGTACAATATGTGTGAACAGTTTTTTAATCAACATGTTAATCATTAAATATACTACTGGTAATATTATATTTCAGTGTGTAAACCATTCTCTCACCTCATTTTCACCATATGGACCAAAGTCAATACAAGTTTAGTCCATATTATACTGCATTACTGTCTTGTTAGAATGTTCGTTTTCTAGAAAATTTTTGTTTAATGATTTTAAATGCTTGTTCCCTCGTTTTCTAATATCCTGTTTCAACTATCTTATGAATATTTTTATATACCGTTTCTTTCATCCCATTTTCCCCATATGGACCAAGGTCAATACAAGTTTAATATCAAACTACATTACTGTCTCATTTGAATGTTAATTTTTCTCTCTATTTAATTTTTATTTCATGATTTTAAATGCTTGTTCTCCTCATTTTGTAATATCCGGTTTCAGTTATTTTATGAATGTTAAATACTTTTTTAAAATGAAAATGTGGAAATAAACTTTAAACTTTAACCAAACTTCTCACAATATTCCCTGCATCTTATCATTTTATATCTATCCGACTCTTCTATGCATTCTATCTAACTCCTAATCTCTCTTTCATTCTCAATATCATTATCTCTTGTACTTTGAAATCCATGAGTCCATGCTGGAGATACACTTGTTGAACAGGGAAGTGAGTGTATCCTAAGTTTTTGTTTTCTTTCAGCAATCATGGCCCCCTTGTGCCCCCCCCCCCCACACACACTCGGCGATGCCTGCAACATAATCATTCAAAGAACACAATAAAACAAATCATAAGAAAGTGAAATTTTATTAGGAATGTTCACAATGATTGTTTTACATTGAAAAGGGAAAAGAAAAAAGATTCCATAAAAGCTTTCATAAAATTAAAAAAAATAACCATTGCAAATTGGTAGCTCAGAAACCACTATTTCCCTTCGTTTAAATACAACTACACAAGAACATAGTGCTCCACGTCTTGCATAATTACTGTATTAAATACAATGTATTACACAGAACAAGACATAATTAAAAACATAATAGCATAGAGACAAAAAATAAAATACTAATTAATTCACTACATTCATATTTATATTCTATATTGACGTCCCAAAATATACAAAGATAATCTCAACATGGATCTCAAAACACACACTGGATGAAAATGCATTGGCTCGCCAGGAGCTTTCAATTACCAGTTTTCTAACAGCTGGGACTACAGTTCAAGAGTTATGCCAAGACTAGTGCTGTAACATCACGGATATCTCCAATTCCGTTTAACCGCCTGTCAAAACCGGACGGTTTTCGGTTAAACGATTTATTTAAAAAAAAAAAAAACTTTTAAAAAAAATTTTTTTTTTTTTTTTTTTTTTTTTTTTTTTTGTGGCCGTGTGAAAAAGCAGGAAGGTGATTTAACTGAAGGCGCCGATTTGTGCTTGTGAACTAGTCACAAATAATAGTAACAATGTCGTTTTAGAATAATGTGTAAGATCATTAAAGTAAATTAAAAACAGTAGAGGACCTAGGATAGAACCTTGTGGTACACCATGTGTTAAACTTGGATGAATATATATTGAGATCTATTACAAATATTACTTTCAAACCAAGATGACAGACAAATTGGAGTGTTGTTCTAGTTTCCAAGTGGTAAGTCATCACACCGACTACTGAGCTGGGAGACATTGCCAGGTATAGTGCCAGGTGGAGGGGCATAAATCGAAACTTTAAAAAAAAAAAAAAAAAAAAAAAAAAAATTATAAAAAAAAAAAAAAAAAAAAACGGGGAAAACGAAACCGTCCAATTGAAAACGGAATCCGCCATGGGCGGTCGGATACCAGACGGTTAAACGTTTGACTACAGCACTAGCCAAGACTACAACATATACATGTAGACAACATGTACTGATGAACGGCCAACCATCGTTAGTCGAGCTCTACTTGCAGCGAAGCAAACAGTGTTACATGTATACAGTGTGTGTATGTTCCAATAACGATAATAAAAAACTAGCATATGCATGTAATTCGCTCTCTATTGCAATGCATATCACAGTGTTGACAAAATTTATAAGACAACTTAGAATTTAAATTGACACAAAATTGATACGTTTTCAAGAATTTCTTAACTTGTCTGCCAGTTCTGTCTTTGGTAATTCCTTATTCAGTCTTTTTTAAACACTAATTAACGTTCTAGACAGGGGTACAAGTCTGTAGCTTGGATGCAGGATGAAAGTATCAGCGTATACACGTGTAGGAGGTATTTCGGTAACCCTTAAAGAAAACCTTACCCCTAGAATAACTTTAGTTATTCTGAGAGGTTTTTTGTATTCTTGCCCATCAATCTACAAGATTTCCCACCACAGTGTATGAGAGAGGTTTGAAGCAAGATATTCTTCGCATACCGTAATGTAAAATTTCTCAGCATGACATAGGCATCACCACTTTCTTAATTAGTTACGTGACACACTTTACATACATTCTGCCAAGAAATACGTGTACCGGTAGCTCCATTTCTATATCTCTCATACCTTTTCGTAAGGAGTATTGTACATCAATTTATATACGCATTGTAAACATGAGCATCGCCTTTAAACTAAATCTTTCTATAAAACTTGAAAAATTGAAGAAGAAAAAAAGAGTTATGAAAAGGCAACATAAAAAAAAAAAACATCTTCCCTCAACATTAAAAAAAACCTTTGGCACTTTAATCTATCTTTCAAAACAAGAACTTTTCTTCTACAGCGGGACCTACTTGATCACAACACACAAAAGGGAAAACCCCTTTTTGAAATGCTGCACATTTCTGAGAAATGGACTTGCATTCCTACAGTAATACAGGTCTTCATTTCATCTGACCCAGCATGATTACCATATTTCCCGAAAATTGTTCTCGTTCTACTTATCTCTCATTTTCTGCTTTTATTAAAACCAACTTCCAATTAAAGGAAAATTCAATTTAATTCTCTCATTAACTTTTTTGTAGAGGGTCTTCTTGTGGAGTGGTATGGCATGTGCTACAGCAACGATTTCTTGATGGTGAAATTTGTGAATGGTGGTGGTTATTTTACCCGACTGCTAAGAAAGCATAAATGCTTGTTAGTAAGCAACCAGATGGCCGATGGCTTTAGGTCCTCTCTGAGGGACATGGTAATGAAAATTAATGCCTTACCAAAGGGCACTAGCGCATCGCCTTCGGTTTTGAACCCGGGTCACCGGAATACGAGACCACTGCTCTACCGACTGAGCTATCGCGCCTCCTCCAATCCCTACACGAACCAGATTCCTACTTTCAACCTTGGACCAGACACTACATTAAATCTAAAACCTGCCTGCAACCCGATGAACCCCAACCCTTACCTTATCATTTCGACAAAATAAAGCCCAAAGAAAATTTTGCAAGAGCAATTGTTGGATGACCATAGATGACCAACGATAAGAAGGAGACCAACAAAGCGAAATCAGGTTTCAATGACAAATAAAACATCTGTTTCAAGCCTACATAAAATAAGATTCTTAAATAAGAATGGTGATCATTCATAAGAACCCACTAAACTAAAGCCTTGTGCAAGGGCCACCCAAGGGAAACAGGCCACTGTAGACAGGTGACTTTTCTAAACAGGTTTTACAACACACGTTTCTTCCTAGAGGTGGCCACTGGCCACTAAGACAGGTTCGACTGTATTTATTATAGTGCAGCTCTACTGTATATACTCTATTGTGCTGTGGTGGAAAACAAAATCCTTACAGTGCTACTTTATGGATACACAACCCAAAGTATATTAAAAGACTATTGAAAACAAGTGGGTCTTCAACATTTCAATTAAAAATTCAAGCAATTTGGGGATTTAGTAGGTGTGGCTGATTATTTTATTTTTTGAATTAATTTTTATCCATTCACAGTTTTGTGAAAAACAATGTACCAGTATTTCTTTCAGAAAAGGTACATTTTCACTTAAAATAGGGACTTTTTACAGAGCCTTGTTTGAAACATCTGGACCAGCTGTTTTACATATTATTAATCATAGGTAAACCACAACCTTTTTTTATAATCCAAGGGGATGGATAAATGAGGGAAAGACATTGCAGTATTCCCATTTTGGAGGACTTTTCCAACATTACATACACAACAATGATCATGAAAAAACGAATATTTCACTAAATCCACCCACTAAACCATTCATAGTACATACACACACAAACAACATCAATTTCAAAGGACATGCAATGTAGATTTGATATATTTCCTCGCAAATATATAACCCTTCTGCTGCACAACTTATAAAAGTTTGCATATTAATAAAAAAAGTATATTCATTTTCATTTTCCAAATTCCATTATACCCAATAAAAGTACATCATTTGGAGAGAATGAGCCAATAGAATTAAATATACATACCTTCACCATATTGTTCCGTTTCTGATATTCTCAAAGTACAAAATAGGAAATACAAATGGCCCAATACTAGCAGAGAAAACATCATCTCTGCTCCTATCATTGCGCAATCGAATTACACACATTTAAATAAGGGTTAGCAGTACTTTTAAAAGGTTTCAGTTATGTAAATCACAATTTCACAGACATCAGGCAATCAACAATCCTCGTGGAAAATTCCAAGTACATTTGCCTGTGAAATAACCAGCAGCAGTGTATTCACAGCTACTGCTGGTACCTTAGATAAATTGTCGAGAACTACAACAGCTATGCATTATAATCTACACAGACAGAAAAGGGTAGGGATGAAAATTGCTATTGCTATAAGTACTGGGAATAAGAAGCTCGTTTCATCAGCTGCGTAAGGATCGACAGCTTTAGGACCAGACTTATATTTGGCCTTGGTGATCACCTTAGGAGCATCGTCCTCGTCCTTCTCAATCTCGTCATCGTCATCGCCTTCATCGTCAGGTTCCTCGAGACCAGGAAATGGTGCTAATCTAGGAACCTCTGTAAACAATGGAAGAAAAAGCATAAAAATGTTACCAAAATTCATGATTACTGTTCTTAATTTTATATAAACTACATTAATTCTTGTATAACTGTGTGCTTCTCATTCAGTACTCAGTACCTGATATTTAAATTGCTCCTGTACTGGTTAATTATCATCACAGGAATAATATAACTATAATTTCATAAATTTTAGAATCCTGATTATAATGATGAATGTTTACAAGGCATTTTTCAATAGAATGCAAGGGGTTAGGACAAAAACCCAATTTACTTTTCTATTCCTCAATAAACTATATTATAATTGTAATATTTAGTATGAATTGTTAATCCCAACACAATTATTACTAGATATTAACACACATCTATTTCCAAAATTATAAAAAAGTTGGCATGAAATATATATAAGTTCCTTAATTCCGCCTAAAAGAAGAAGAAACAATAATATTCAACAACAAATATTAACATGTAGTTTGGACTTGAGCCAAAAGCAACACTGATCTAGCCAAAATATGAGCACATATATTTGCTGCATTCCAATCCTTCCTACATCGACCTTGTAGACTTTTGTGAAAAGCATTTTTCATACTCACCATCCAACGTTCCTTGTATACAACAAGTGCGTTGATTTTGGGGTTGTCTAGATCACCCTGTAAAAATAAAATGAATTCAAAAAATAAATCATGATGTCCTTACTCGGCTTCTCCCTAGCAGGGAGGGAGGAGGGGAGGAAGGGAGGAGGGGGGAGGAGGGGGAGGAGGGGAGGGGGGGGAGGAGGGGAGGAGGAGGGGAGGAGGGGAGGAGGGAGGAGGGGAGGAGGGGAGGAGGGGGAGGAGGGGAGGAGGGGGAGGAGGGGGAGGAGGGGAGGAGGGGGAGGAGGAGGGGAGGAGGGAGGAGGAGGGGAGGAGGAGGGGAGGAGGAGGGGAGGAGGAGGAGGGGAGGAGGAGGAGGGAGGAGGGAGGAGGGGAGGAGGGGAGGAGGGGGAGGAGGGGAGGAGGGGGAGGAGGGGGGAGGAGGGGAGGAGGAGGGAGGAGGAGGGGAGGAGGGAGGAGGAGGGGAGGAGGGGAGGAGGAGGGGAGGAGGAGGGGGAGGAGAGGGGAGGAAGAGGGGGAGGAGAGGGGAGGAGGAGGGGGAGGAGGAGGGGAGGAGGAGGAGGGGAGGAGGAGGAGGGGAGTAGGAGGAGGGGAGGAGGAGGGGAGGAGGAGGAGGGGAGGGGGAGGGGAGGAGGAGGAGGGGAGGAGGAGGGGAGGGGGAGGGGAGGAGGAGGAGGGGAGGAGGAGGGGAGGAGGAGGAGGGGAGGAGGAGGAGGGGAGGAGGAGGAGGGGAGGAGGAGGAGGGGAGGAGGAGGAGGGGAGGAGGAGGAGGGGAGGAGGAGGAGGGGAGGAGGAGGAGGGGAGGAGGAGGAGGGGAGGAGGAGGAGGGGAGGAGGAGGAGGGGAGGAGGAGTAGGGGAGGAGGAGGGGAGGAGGATGAAAAAGTAAGAAATGTAAGAGTACAGAAAGTACTCTACATGTAATCTGTTGGGATTGCAAACAATTTTTTTCCTCAACTTATGCAAAATTTGACTTAGGAAGTGTAAATAATACATTTTGCAAAGTTTGGTGACAGAAAAACATTGATTCAAGTAAGGTATAATTCAACTTTCGCAACTTCAAGTTATGGAGAGTAAACTGTTACTCTGAAGAAAGAGGCATGAAACAAAACCAAGAAATGGAAGTCATTTACCTTTTGGAATTCCACTCGGAGATAGCCACTCAGGGTGGAGACCTCTCCCTGAACCTTGATTTTGCTCTTGCTGACTGTGAAGGTGACATACTCGTCGTGGGCTGTTCCTCGGCCGACCTTCTGGTAGATATCCAAGTCTGGAACGACCCTATGCTGCTCATTCAAGACCACGTCAAATACCTGTCACCCACACACAAGAACAAACACAGTTACAAAGTCTGGATTTAGAGCTCAACACCAACCCAATTTATGTCTGGACCCCGAACCTTTTGAAAGTTTTGAATAGGGAACATGAATACAGACTCTAAAAGGGAACATGAATACAGACTCTTCCAAGAAAGGTAGTGTGGAGACCTGGATATATAAAGTTGTAATCTAACATTTTTACATTGGTCATAGTGAGAAGAAAAAAAATTGTTAAATGGTAATTTAATTGTCGAGCAAAGAATGTAAAAAGAAATCATCCTAGAGAGTTTAAAAAGATATAAACAACGTTTTTATATCAAATGGAACATTGATGTTTCAATACTAAAACACTGGTAATAATAAATTAATACAAAATAGACAAGGTCCTTTTCATTATTAATTAGAAGATCATGGCCTTCTGTCCTGAAGGCATCAAAATATCAACTTCAGGCTTAAGACAGCCAAGACTCCTTAAGGATTAATCCGGATCTTCCTCTTCAACAAGCTATAGACTAGTATACATTACATGTCTATGTTGTTCACATAATTTGCATATTTTCAAATCTCCAAGTCTGATTACCGGTAATCTTCTTTCTCTTTTTACTCAGGGAAAAGCACAGTAGAGAGGTAGACCGAATTTTCCGTCTCTTTCGTTCGTTAGCCTCTTATTGGGGTAGGGTCGGCTCTCTCTTTAGAGACGGAAACTGTCTATACACATTCCCTTGATAACGCCACGGCCATTTCAGGTCGTAGCGTTTTGCCCCAAAATCCCCCAAAATGTCATTTTACCTCATGCATTGATTATTTAAAATTAGGAGAAGGTTATACTACATCGGTTCCACTTACCAACTTGACTGAAATAATTCGTTTAATGGTCCCTTTTAAGGAAATTATGGGTCAAAATCGACATCCATGTTGAAATCTTGCAAGCCGTGTTAAACTCTCGCTGCGCACGGAGTCATCTAAATCGTTGTTGTTGTTGTTGTTTTAATTTATAGGCGTTTTTCATTCAGAAGTGAATATTTACGCCTCTTCTCTCAGGATTTTTATTCCTTTAAAATTAGATTTACTTTTTTTGATATATAGATTTAGATGAATTGGATTTTTAAAAGCTAAACTTTTATTTAATGATGAAGAATTCAGTGGCTGGCGAGCAAAAGGCTTATCAATCTCATCCCTTTTAGTCTACGCCGAAGGCAAAACGATTATGAAGAAAAAATTGTGATAACGCCATTACGAACGTGTAGATGGCGCACAGTTTTTCCTTCATAATCGTTTTGCCTTCGGCGTAGACTAGAAGGGATGAGATTGATTTAGATGACTCCGTGCGCAGCAAGTTTAACACGGCTTGCAAGATTTCAACATGGATGTCGATTTTGACCCATAATTTCCTTTAAAGGGACCATTAAACAGATTATTTCAGTCAAGTTGGTAAGTGGAACTGATGTAGTGTAACCTTCTCCTAATTTTAAATAATCAATGCATGAGGTAAAATGACATTTTGGGGGATTTTGGGGGCAAAACGCTACGACCTGAAATGGCCGTGGCATTATCAAGGGAATGTGTATAGACGGTTTCCGTCTCTAAAGAGAGAGCCGGCCGACCCTACCCCAATTAAGAGGCTAACGAACGAAAGAGACGGAAAATTCGGTCTAAGTAGAGAGGTAGACTTGTAGTTGTAGACCCTAGACCCTATAATGCTATATGATGAAACTAAGAACAAGAATTTGTCTTACCTAACTTTATTTTTTGTTTAGACCTAGATTCTAGATCTAGATCTATCTGTTTGTTTCGAGTAGATCTACATTCTAAATCCAGAGAAAAATGATCAGCAACAAACATCACACGGACACACCCCCCTCAAACATGACAATGTTAATTGTTATGGTTCAATAGTACAATGAGATAAATTAAAGTCACCTTCATTCTTGAAGATGTAAACCAAACTTCACAAAACTTGAGAACCAGAACATATTCGCCATCTTCCTTGATTGGAATATCATAGCCAAATGTCGAGAGATGGTAGCGCTCCGTCTGATAGAGGATGGCATCACTTGGTGGAACCCTCGCTATCGGCATACTCTTCCCGTAGTCTGAAGGGATGCCGATGGTCAGGGGGTCTTCCTGGTAGTGTGTTCCGTACATGTCTACGTGCGCTGGCCCACCGCTGTTCACCGCATAAATAACTTCAATTCCTGCACATTTTGCCACCTCGTGCATGAGGAAAAGGATGATTACCAGAAACATATTCGCTGCGTATGTTATTAACTTCATTGTGATGAGGTGCCTCTGATGTTTGACGAATCAAAAAAGCTAAATCTTCCCAAATCTACCCCTCTCTTCACACCACCAACAACCGGATTTTTCGGTACACAGAACAATAGCGTACTGAGATGTGGATCGTAGCGCTTAGCCGAGCACTTTAGCTTCGAGCGAAACTTTGCAATCATCCGTGCGGCTAGAGACGGCCAAAAAGCGAAGGCTGATTCGGCTGGGCTATGCAACCGATCGTTGACTATGCACTGCACTGACCCTTATCTTATTGCACGTGGAATTGAGCTACCACTAGCCAATACAAACTACACGCGTAGTGCATTGCCAAACATAATGTTTGCGGAATAAACATGAATACATGTTAAATTGTACTGTATTATAATTATTTTCATCATATCAAATAGTTATAAAAATACTTGGTTAGGATATAAAATTAAAAAATATATTAAATATGCCAGCAATATGATTTTAAATGTTAATTACAGGACTGAATCTATGTTTGAATGAGATAAATCTTAAATTAGCAACTCATCAATATTGTTTTGTTTACATGATTGATATGCGTGCCAAGTTAAAATGTGGAATAAACTACAATGGATTGGGCTTACTTATGTCGTCATTCTGATTCAAGAGAGTAATGCAAGTAAGTGACATACACCGAGCTATAATGCCATGATTTACTCGTAATCGTAAGAAAAAAATATTTCTGCAATCCCAAAATGCATTCAACGGTCCCACTCGTTAACTAATTTGTTAGTGGAATGCACTTTGACTTGAATTGGCGCAACCACACGTTTCTTTTCTTGTCTATGACTGTATATTATAGAGATCGAACTTGTGTTAATATCTACATGTAGCTTCTTGGAACGTCCCATATATCTTATATTTGATGTAACAACATGTATTTTATCAACTTTTTAGATTGAACAAAATTACAACCAGATAAATTTAGGCCTAGAATTTAGATAGACCCTAGATCTAGTCTAGTTTGAAAAATGATTAAGTCAGATAACTTTATAGTTTGAAAAGGTTTTAAAGTATGTGTATGTAATGTTTACATTGCAGGCAATGCTGATGATGACCGAGACATGTGGGCGTGGCAAGCTGGATGGCAATGGGTGTGGCTTGCTGTTGCTGTAGTGATTGGAATTGCTATCTTCAGTAGACAGAGAAAGACTAGCCAACAGGTATGACATCTTCTATATCACAATCTTCTCCTAGAGTCCTACTTCTCCTTCTCATTCTCCTCCTCCTCTTTCTTCTCCTTCTCCTCCTTCTCCTTCTCCTCCTTCTCCTTCTCCTTCCCCTTCTTCTCGTTCTCCTCCTTCTCCTTCCTCTTTAACTCCTCCTTCATCATTTTCTTCTTCTTCATTTTCTTCTTCTTCATCTTCTTCTCCTTCTTCTTCTTCTCCTTCTTCTTCTCCTTCTTCTTCTCCTTCTCCTCCTTCTCCTTCTCCTTCCTATTCCTATTCCTATTCCTATTCCTATTCCTATTCCTATTCCTATTCTCCTCCTCCTCCTATTTTTGTTTTAAATAGTTATGAATATAAAGTAGAGTCAGACTTTATTTCCAATGTAGATGAACTCAAACCTTTTCTGTAATTTTCTATGTTTGTTCTTTTAAATAGTGGAAAGTTACATTTAAGTAGAAGTTTCAAAATAAGTAAATTGAATGATTCAATTGCATTTTTCACAAATATAGTTATATCAGATGTAGCAGCCTACCTTCCTGTATTCTGCATCGTTCTCATCTGCATTTCTTTTCTTTTCTTCTTCTTTATTTTGTTAACAGGCTGACAAAGAGAGTAGACAGAACAAGTCTACATCTCCAGTAGATCCACAGGCTTCCCTGGATGTAACCAGCATCAAGATCTTCTATGGCACTCAAACTGGTACAGCAAAGGTATAACAAAAATTAAAATAAAAATTGAATATTTACGGTATTATTTAAGTAGAAAAAAGATTATGATTCTTCTCTCCTGCCCATGTTTTTTTTAATGATGCCCCTTGAACAGTATATCCTTTTTTGTTTAAAAAAATAAGTAGTTTCAGATTTGGAATTGCAAACATAAATGATATTGATTTAGATGATGACAATTTGAACATGTAAAAGAGTTTAGAACATAAGTTCTGTATACACTGTATGAACTCGTAAGGAATCACTATGTGCATTGAAAAAAAAAAATCATAATAAAAGTAACAAATTAGATTTTATTTGGCATAGTAGCAACCAGTAGAAAGGCTTGCTGACCTTGGGATTATAACCTAACATGGCATCTTACTGTAGATGTATGTTTTAATGACAATTTTGAAGTTAAGTTCAAGAAAAAATAATATTATTTTTTCTTGTTAAGCAAATATGAATTGATGCTAACATGTACATGTACCTGTATGCACCTGTATTGTCTTATTTTCTTAACAGTTTAAATGGTCTCCAGAGTAGTATTATCTTGATTGGCTGGTTTGTTGTTGTTGTTGTTGTTTTACTCTCACTCTGACACTCAAGTTGTTTTATTGTTTAATTCTATTCATAGAATCTTGCTGCCCAACTTGCCAAGGATATTCCTGACACAGTGAACACAGATGTAATTGATCTGAAGGAGTTTGATCCAGAGAAACATGTTTTATTAGATGTAAGTCAAAAATGATGCTGTTGTGTAAAGACAAAAGCAAATTCCAACAGGTAAATGTGCATTTGACACCTGTGCATGGAAATGACTCAGAGCCACTTTATTCAGACATTTACAAGCGTAAATTTATTCAAATTCTTTTCATGTAGGTAATCCTTTATACTTTCTATAGAAGTTCCTCAGAAATATCAATATATTTTTCAACAAATCACTGACGAGTATTTACATCAATGACAGCTGCCTGGTTGGAATATAGACTAAGCTAGAGTCTAGATTTTACTAGCTTCTGAACTATCTCTTGTGATGGTGTGCAACTGTTCTGTGCTGCTTACTGCACATTACATACTCTGCCCTAACTAACTTGGCACACTGAAAGTTAACTGAGTCCAAAGTAACCTGTTCATTTTTTGTCACCAAAATTCTTGAGGTTTCTTAAGTTTTTGAAATGATAGTAAAAATCAATAATGACTATCTTTTTTGTATTCTTCAAACCTTAAGAATTCTTCATGATATTGTGGATGAGAACTTTCACCAGAGTAACCCCTAATCCATATTTTATGCATGTCAGTACGACACACAATTGCTTCTCCACAATACAAAATACTGAAACTTGTCATTCACACAGGTAGTTTATATACTAGTTATATACATTTATTTCATGCATAAAACTATCTAAAAATAATTGCCACATTATTAATCATTACCGGTAATTAATTATTAATATTCGCCTATTTTTCTTCTCTCTCTTCTCTCTCTCTCAGCAAGATGAGCAGACAGTGTGTGTATACATCCTCTCCACCTATACGGACGGTGAGCCGCCTGAGGGTGGGGCGTGGTTCTGTCGATGGCTCCACGAATCAGTCAATGACTTCAGGGTGCCCGGGACACTGCTCAAAGGACATCAGTTTGCAGTCTTTGGACTTGGAAACTCACTTTATCAAGATCACTACAACACAGTGAGTATGGGTGGCTTAATTGATGATTTATTATTTTGAATATTGACTATTTTGAGCAACAACTTTAGCCCAGAGGTTCATTTGGATGAACCTGGAAATTAAACTTTTAAAATGAACCGGTAACATTGTTGAAGGTTGATGAAAAAATGGATAATTTTTGTATGAACAAAATTTTACTTATTATATTCCTTCTATTATACTTACGCTCTAACATACTAAAAATCCTGAAAGATATTTATGGTTTTCTTTGATGGTGTCTCCTCACAACCATTTTTTAATTTTACCAACCTTGTTTTACATGAAAAAAGACTTTAAACAGGCTTTTAAAAATCATTCGAATGTTTGGAATAGTATATAGAGCCAACTCATTGTTTTGTGACGATTAACATTCACCTATCTAAATTTCAATTAAACTATACTAATATAGTTGGGAGAATAAAGGAATCCATCAAAACAGTTTTTCCAAAGTTTTACCATCTTTAATTGTGCATCTAGCATTGAAGGCACTTCCTTAGCACCATTTTCTATCATCTGAACAATGTTACCAGGTCCCTATAAAGGGTTGAATGAAAGAGCTGTTTCTCTTTGTTTTGGTATCATTAGCTCAATAATGTTTTTGTTTTACAGAACAAGTTCCTCTGACAAATTTTGGGCATTGACAAAGATTACATATTGCAGCAATTTTTAGAGTATGAATGGAGAAAATAGTTGACCAGTGTTTTACTCTGGTGCATTAATATTACATGATTTAATTTGTTATTAATGTTATAATCATTTTATGCCATTTGTCTTTTGTTTAATTATTTTAGTTTTATTAATGTTTCCTTATGTGTCATTTGGATCCTTTTTTTGTTTCATGTAGGTCAGTAAGAAGGTTCATCAGTGGCTGATAGACTTGAGTGCCAGGCCTTTGCTTCCAGTAGGAGAAGGGAATGGCAATGTGGCAGCAAGCAAGCATGGAGGTGAGTTTCTAATAGGGACTGGTGCTCACAGACTAGCAATAATATACTGTCAAATTTATCTGAAAAGGCCACCCAAGGGGAACAGAGAAAATTCGCCACTCTAGACAGGTGCTCTTTCTTAGAAAGGTTCTTTAAAGGTAAAGACCAGTATTGGAAACGCCCCAATTTCAAAAAATGAAATGGAAGCTCTCATTACCAATCATGTGAAAGAATATGTTTTGACTAATACATGATGAGAGATATAGGGTAGTCCCATATACATCTTTCTGTGTAGTGCTTGTAACTTTACGAAGAATGGGCCAAATTTCTTATCATTTTGATGATTCCAGAACCTTGCAGATGCTAGATGCTAGATGATCAACCTTTTTTGATCGATTCCACAACGTTTCTTTCACAATGCAATCGCATGACCATAACTGGTCTTTACCTTTAACTACTTTTTCATTTTCATTCAACAGTAATGTTGAACCACAAAATGCATATTTTAAGTAACAAAATAAATTTCTTCCTTTTCAGTTATATTATACACTTAAAAATGGTAAAATACAAACAATTCTATTACATTTGACAGGTACTGAAGCAGACTTTGCTGCATGGAAATCTGATTTTCTCCAGGCTGTACTGAAGTGTGATGGAAGTGGTGATAAATCTTGCAGTTGTAATCAGAATGGAACATGTCAATCAAGCGTCATAGGTCAAATGTCATTAGAACAGGTAAGTTATTGAAGAGTGAGACAATTTTGATGTTTTCAATTTTCAGTATGTAGAGATTTTTATTTTCATGTTTTAGTATTTGTGTTCCATCCATGAATCTCCCAATCTCTCTTCGCCATTTTTGTATTGCTATATTAGAAGCAGAGAAAATGTATGGCTGTATTAAAGCAGGGAGATGGGATTAAAGTCCTATCATCTGGGCAATGTAGTAAAGGATTTTTGTTTTTATTCACATGAGCTATGATGTGTTTTTTTTAATGAGAGTTCTTGTTGGTCAAATACTGCTGCTTCAAATAAGTGGGCTTGGGGGAAAAGAGAGATAGAGGAAGGCAAAGAGTACTATCGGTGGATAGTGTGCAGAGATGGGTGGAGGAGAGAGTAGTGTCAGACCAAAGAGTAGAGTCCATTTCAAAGGCTAAAAAAGAGGGTGTCGCTGAACAATGTGATCACCAAAGTCAATAGATTTGTTACAGTAACGGGAGAGAGAGAGAGAGAGAGAGAGAGAGAGAGAGAATATATATTTTTATCTATGCAATGGCCCCAAGCCTTTCAGTTTTTAATAATAATAGTTCACAAATGTAATGTAATTATCTACCCCCCCCCCCCAACTCTGCAAACATGTGATGATATGTGACAGTTATTCTTTTGTTTAGAACACTGTGACTCCTGAGCGTGACGGCGGTGGTGAGGAGAAGGCAGACGATGGTCTGGACAGTGACCAGGAAGATCCTGATGAGATGGATGTCATTGATGTCGAAGACCTGGGCTCCGTCATGAACAAGATGAAGAATGCCAAGGTATGTGTGTTCTTAGTTTCCGATTTTGTATATATTTTTTTTTGTGAGGGGGGGGGGGGGGTGTTATAATTCATGATTTTTCTAATGAGCAGTGAGTATGCAATAATCGGAATCACTTTTGTGTGGATGATATTTCTCACAAATTTTCTGTTATGGATTTTGTAGGTGTTTAGTTTGGTTTATATCCTTTTCTCTCTCTGATTTAGCATTCTCTTTTTCCTTTTGTGCATTGATTACTTTTTTTCCCTCAATTTTTCTGTTTACCCCCTTTTCTCTTACCCTTCACACTCATTGTATTTTCATATCTCCTGTTCTAATTTTTTCTTTTTCCCCATTTTGTTTGTTTGTTTGTTGTTGTTGTTGAAATTGATGAATTTGAATCAACAATTTGTCAGTTAGATTTAGTGTACCTAATGATTGAAAATTGTACATTCATTTTGATCACTTAACAGGCTATGAATGGTGTAAAACTGGGCACAGAGCCGAAGGAAATGGTAACACCGACCATCAGGAAAAATCTCACTAAGCAAGGTAAGCGTTCACTTGTAACATTTGAGAGAGAGAGAGAGAGAGAGAGAGAGAGAGATAGAGAGGCATACAAAAAGTTGAAATTTGGAGATAGTTGAAAAACATGAGAATGAGGGGAAAAAGAAGATTGAAGTTGAACCTCCTTTTTTTGAGGAATGAAATGGTGTGCTATTTTCAAATGGAGTCGATTTATAATACCTGTTCCTCTTATACAGCGAAAGCTAATGTATATGACAAAATTGTTTGTACTAATAAATTTGCCATGGAATAGTTTAACGCATTGAAATATAATGTGGCGAGAGTGAAGTATTGCTGAGTTAGGGATAAAAATGCTATTTTAGACCTCTTTCTGGATTTGATCCAATACTTTACTTGAGATCTCATGGCTTTATAATGTTTTTCTCGCTTTAATATAATCTGTTGACAGGTTACCGAATCATTGGTTCTCATTCTGGCGTGAAGCTATGTAGATGGACAAAGGTGAGTGATAGATGTCAAATAATTCTCTAAAAGCTTTGTTTGGTTGGGAGTCAGAAAGGCATTAAATGCAGTGGTTCGTTAAAGGAGAGTCAGCACCTTTTTAACTCTCAGCATAGGTAATAATGCTCACTTTCAAGAATAGGATAAATGGGAAGCTGTACCTTAAACTATCTATGTGCCAATCAGCACCAACGGCAAACAAAAGGTTAAAGATAAAGACCAGTTATGGTCATGCGATTGCATTGTGAAAGAAACGTTGTGGAATCGATCAGAAAAAGTTGATCATCTAGCATATAAGTATTGGTGTGTACTGCAAGGTTCTGGAATCATCAAAATAATAAGAAATTTGGCCCAGTCTTCGTAAAGTTACAAGCACTGTACATAGAAAGTTGTATATGAGACTACGCACACGTGCGCGACACGTGCGTTTATCTCTCACACACCAATAGATAAACTAGTTCACCAAATATATCAATTAGTAGGCGGTTTCCCGGCAAAAATGTTATCATCATGTATTATTCAAAACATATTCTTTCACATGATTGGTAATAAGAGCTTCCATTTCATTTTTGAGAGGGGGGCGTTTCCAAAACTGGTCTTTACTTTTAATGTCTCGATCATTTTCTTGTTCATTGTACAGAGCATGCTTCGTGGTAGGGGAGGATGCTACAAGCACACCTTCTATGGTATTGAGAGTCATCGATGCATGGAGACAACACCCAGTCTGGCATGCGCTAATAAATGTGTCTTCTGTTGGAGGTGGGTAATAACAATAATAATGATAGGGTATAGTAGATGAAGAATTTAATTCCAAAAGGAGCTAAATGCATTTTTGTAACTTCAGAGAAAAAAGGAATCGTTTACCAGATTTTGTACAGGCGTCTATGGAAAAGTAATATTCGATGGTGTATTTTTTCATAATTGCTCCCAAAGTTTAGGTAAATATTTTTGTTGAAAGACAGGTACTTTAGTGAACAATGTTCTGATATCTATAATTTGATTTTCATAAAAAGTGGATTTAGGTCCTTTTGGAATTAAGCTCTTCATATGTAGCTCATTTTCCACATACATGTTCAATTTTTTTGCAATTATGTTGTTAACAGAAGAGGCAAGTGGGGAAATATTTTGGAAGGTATTAAGATATTGCAGGTTGCAAATAAATCTGGGTAGGTTATTGCACAGTTTGGGAGCAGCAGTTGTGTTTGCTCTTTCACCAAGTGTAACATCCTGGGAGGCTGATGGTTCAGCGTGATGCCTTGCAAGGAGCGCGAGAGGAGTAGCAGGATGGTTGCCTGATAGTTATAAGTACTAATAATACACATTACATGTTGGCTGCTGTAAAATCGAAAGCGTTTGCAACATGAACAGTATAGCCTTTTCTCTTCCTAAACGGAAACAGGTTGTCCTCATTAAGAAACATTAATGCCCCATTAAAACAATGAAACAAGCTATCAAAACTAAAATATGACTCCTGCTTACAGTAATTAGGGATGATTCTGTATTTATGTGTTATTTGTTTAATGTAGAACATAATCTAAACATACTTTTATGTTTTGCTCTTTTGTAGCATATCCAAGGGTAAAATCCATATGCTTCTTTAACAGTGGGGCTGGGGGAGGTGGAGGGGGGGGGGGGGGGTAGGCATAGATGTCCATTAGCGACAAGGAAATAAAATCAACGACAAAAAAAGCACTTAGGTGTCTATTTTTGTTGTATTACAAGATAAAGCTGATATATATATAAATATGTGCGGTATTTTTTTTTTTTTGGGGGGGGGGGTGGGTGGGGGCAGGGCATATTCCCTGTACCTCTCCCCATCTGCCAATGTAGACCAATTGTCCTCAATGGCTCGTTAATTCGAAAACAAATATCAGTTAAGGTACAAGGAGCATGCAGATAGCCATTTGTCTTTTTTTTTTTATCTCCTTGCAGGCACCATACAAACCCGGTAGGTACAGAGTGGAAATGGCAAATGGACGATGCTGAGTCCATCGTAGAGGGAGCCCTAAAGAACCATTACAACTTGATCAAACAATTCAAAGGTATGATTGTTTTACTAATTTCTGTTCCCTGACCGTTGTGATTTTCTGTATATTCCTGAATAATTCAAGATTGAAATCATTGTACTTGATATAGCGGATGCTTATAAAGATCTGAAATTTCAAGAACGATAGAGCCTAATCCCTCTAGCTGTCTATGCAAGCCTTTTGTTAAGTCAAAGCAGACCGGGAGCCAATTATCTGAAAAAGCGGCTCCTGGTCCTAAAATTTTTTAAAGAACCGGGAGCCGTTTTCCAGGACCAGGAGCCGTTTCCAAAATTGATGAAAATTGGTATTCTTTTAAATTATTTGTTTACCTTACCTTTTATTTATACATACCGGCACGGTAGTTTAATTTCTTGTTTAAATTTTGAGCACTCTAATATTAAATCACTCATGCCTTGGATAAATCTGTCATTTGTAGTTGTTGTGGTTCATGTTTAAAAACTATTTTTATGCCGTTAAATGTCAAAAATTGAAAAATGTTACAGTTAGGAAGGGGGGAATTAAATTATTTTTATTTAAAAAAATTGTTAAGTTTTAGGCTATCAAATAATAAATAAACATGCAATGCTGGGATTATTTTGTCATTTGGAGTTGTTGTAGACCATGTTTTTGTTAATATGAAATGCCATTTCATGACTTTGAAATGAATAATATAAGTCTAAGAATAGAGGCAAAACATGCGAGCCACCATCTTTTTAGACAATATTTAAGCATATTTTTAGGTGAAAAAACAGATTTTGCCTGGTTTACGTTTTATGTTATTTTCCCTATAAAATGCTATTGCAATCATGTTTCTTTGAATAAAAACGCATTCAATCTTTGAGAGCGGCCGACCTGTCACTTTAAAAAAAAATATTTAAAAAAATTTTTTTTTTAAATGATTTGTTAAATATATTTACATATTTTATCAGAAAAATCCATTATTCAAAACATCACAGAAATTTAGTCAATGAGTACGAAGGTTGCTGAATTGTGACGCAACACACGATGATGTTCTATGCCGAAGTTGCAGCACCCATTGCATGGTGCTTAATTGCGGTCGAATCAAGGCAAGTCTGGAGTTGCAATCAACTTTGTACATAAAGTCAATGCATCAGCAGGTCCAGTGTTTGTTTTTCATTTGACTTTTTGAAGATACCATCACATTCGAAGGTACCATCACATTCAACAATTATTCATCGAATCCGCTTTGGAGTCCTTGGACTTAACCAAGATCTCCTTAGATTGAGAATTCATGCTACTGGTTTCTGTAATAGATGCCCCAGTGAAATAGAGACTGTAAAACATTTTTTAGTACATTGCCCTAACTATATTATAGAAAGGGCTTGTTTTTAACAGAAATAAACGAATCCCAACCGGAAAAAAATTATGGAATACTTAAAAAAGAGTGAGTCCAGTATACAAAAAGCTGTAGTACGGTTCGTTCACAGAACGAAACGGTTCCCTATCAGGAAGTAATACCTCCCTTGATGAACAGTAAAACATAATACAATACTATAAATATGCTAAATTACACTAGTACATTAAAAATATAATAACATAATGTAATAAGAAAATAAAATAAGAACAGTAAAACATAATACAATATTATTATATGTTAAATTACACTCAGGACATTAAAAATATAATAACACAATGTAATAAGGAAATAAAATAAGAACAGTAAAACAATATTATAAATATGCTAAATTACACTCAGTACATTAAAAATATAATAACATAATGTAATAAGAAAATAAAATAAGAAAAAGTAGTAATGATAAATGGTATGATAAGATTATTGAATATAGAGGCTTGTGTAGGTACTATCTTATATACATATTTATGTATGGTGTGTATGTGATATAACAAATGATCTGCACGTACTGTTAAGAAACACTAACAAAGCCCATGAATGTTTTGCTTACGATATTATTTTTTGATACTATCTTGAAATATAGATAAATATAAAACAAAATAGATATATTTTTCAAAAATACAAAAATGAGAGATATAAATCGCCCGGCGCCCGGTTAATAAAATGCTTGGACTGTCTATGATTATGGTTTTATCCAAGTATTCTTTGGACCTTGAACCTTAAAGGTTTAATCCCTTTTTGAAGTTCCTTGAAGCTATTTTGGGATGGCAAAAATGCTGTGTGTTGATGAGGGTTGTCATGGTGACTACCCCTTCCTTTGCTTTGGTCAAAGGGCTAATTCATCTAATCATCTATTTGACACATCTCATTATTTTATGTGATAAATATTGTAAATTAGAAACACCTTGCTTTGAAATAAAAATTGAAAATCTATACTGATGATGGCCAAACGCAGAAAAGATCAATTATTACTGACTTCTTCCATCCCCTTGAGGTTGTTTTACAGGCCTGATAATTACCTGATTTAAATCGGTTTCCCGATTTTATCCATATTTTCCCCTTATTTTCTCTATTCTTTCCTATTTCTTCCCAATTTTCTTACTCAAAAGGGGGGAATGTTGTTGGATGCCATTTTTTCCCCCAAATCCTCTTCTTTTTTTTTTTACTCAATGGTGGCGTGGTTGAGGGTAAAAAAAAAGCCTTTTTTTGGTGCTCACTATCACCCCTGGTTTCAGCTGTTCAACTTAATGCATACTGCACCACTCCTTAAATTTGTACCATTCTTGAACCGTCAAATCACCAGGAGTTCCCGGGGTGAAGCCAGAGAGGATGAAGGAAGCCATGAAGGCGCAACACTGCGCCCTTTCCCTGGTAGGTGAGCCCATCATGTACCCCAAGATCAATCGTCTAGTAGAACTCCTCCACAAGGAGCAGATCTCCACCTTCCTCGTCACCAACGCTCAGTTTCCGGACGCAATCAAGTGAGTCCAGGGACCCGTTTCACAAAGCCTTTTTTCAATGACAAATGACAAAACTCAGTGACAAATCTGCTGACAACCAGTCAGAAGCAAGGATTTCAGTAGCTTATAACACAAACTGTCATTTGTCACTGATGACAAGTTTTGTGAAACACCCCCCCCCCCCCCCCCCCCCCCCTGGTCCAGTCTGTACCAATTTCAGGAAATGGCCAGCAGGAAGTACCTTGCTGCATCTGACATTTTGATTTTTGAATGGACACCAACTTACTTGATTTTCAACACTCATAGGTATTATTTTGATAGTTATAACTAGATTCTCTCAGAAAGAAACAACCGTATTTAAAAAAAAGTTGTATTAGTACAGGTTCAAACCTTTTGACAATGTATTATCAGGCTGAATCAAGTTCATGATAGAAATTTAATATTTGACTGTGCTTTTGTCAACTGTCTCAAAACCTTAATATATTTACGATACTAGTTTGATGTCAGCATTGGAATTTCAGAATACACATTTTTCTTTGCCTGAAATTTAAGAAAGAAATATTCACATATATTGACAAATATGACCGAACTTTTCAATTGTGGTAACTTATTGAATTTATATTACAGTAACTAACTCAATATTCATAAATTTTAACAGTGATACTTCAATATCCCAGATATGACTGAACTTTTCTATGACGGTAGCTAACTCAAATCCAGGAAGTAATATTGAAATGTCTCTCCACCATTCGATTCCTAGGAACCTCTTGCCAGTCACTCAGCTGTACGTGAGCGTTGATGCTAGCACCAAGGAGAGCTTGAAGAAAGTAGACCGGCCTCTCTTCAGAGACTTCTGGCCTAGGTTCCTGGAGAGCCTCAAAGCCCTATCTGATAAGGTGAGAATGACATGATTAACTCTTATCCTGCTGTAATGAATACAGTCCAGTGCCACAGGGCTAATCCCCATTGTGCCAAGCCACAAATCCCACCTGTGCCAAGTTTATTTTGAGATAATCTGATAATCTGATGGTGCGATCAATAGCGTGTACCAAGCACTCAGCATAGTACAATGAGCATGAACAATAATTGCTATTACGAATGCCAGCATGCATGCATAAAGCAGCTAAGCTGTGGCTCGCTCGCTTGAATTAAGCAGCCAAATGATAGCGTGCTCGCGTGTACAAAGCACTATAATGGTAGCGTGCATGCAGCCTTATGGCAGGATATGAGTTAAATGTCAGGTTTTTTTTCTCCACCGTAGTATAAACAAAACTTGTGAATTTGTACTTCATACAAATATAGAATATTAGTATCCTGTACAATGTACTCTGTACCCTGAGTTAAGAGAGTGATTTTTCGTAAATTCGATACATGCTGATGTATGTAACTATTTATAAGGTTTCAACATTTTTAGGGTTCAGTTGATAAAGTAGAGTACAGTCTTTTTGACAAGGATGAAATATTCCTTCATCATCTGATACTGAAATCTCAGTTTCATCTCATTGTCTACAGCAGTAACAATTTGTCCTCTGTAGATCTTCAGTATTTAACTCAAGCCCTTACTTAGACCAGAATCTGGCCAATTTAATTTAGATGTCCAATGCAACCTCTCCCTGCTTACTTGCTGCCAGCCAAAGATGGCGTGATCCTTAAATTCGGCTGGGCCATGGGGCTGGTGGGCGTTTGAGTTGGTTCATAGCTCCATCTTCAGTGGCTTGAATCAAGTGTAGGGAAATATAAAGAACCGGCCAGATTCTGGACTAGCCCTCACCATGTAGTGTAAACTTTATCAGTGTAAGAGATCCTAGAAGGTCTTGGGAATCATCTTTTTACTTTTATAGCAATTTCTGGGGTAATAGTGAAGTTATTGCTGTGAATGGGAATTTATGTTGTAAATTAGATAGCAATTATGTAGTGCAAAGGTGCCCCCCCCCCCCTGCTTCTTCAGTCAATGACGTATTGTTTCCCTCCATTTGGGGGGTATCTCTTACTCATTTGGAGTACCCCTATAGGGATTCCTATTGATTGGTTTCCCATCTTTTTGGGGTTGTCTCTATTACTCAATTAGAGTACCCCCTATAGGGATTCTCGTTGAACTCTTTGCGTGAGTGCATTTCTTTTGTGTTAGTGCTGGTATTTGGTGAATGCTATAGCAGGCACGCAAGCCATTGTAAGCTTTGTGATGTACATTTTGCATACTGAAGGATGAAATGTGGGCAGGCTTCTGTTTAAAGGCTGCGGTAATTGTACGAGCTGTGGATGGTAGCACCCATGTGTGGGCCAAATGTTTAGCGCTATGGCTAGTATTGGCCGAGGCTGTTTAACGATGAGAAAACAATAGACTCACCTTTAGAACTTCTGACTCTTGATGCACTATTTTGTTGTCAATTTATCTCGAACCCTTTCATTATCTTCGTGTTGCAGGGTCAGAGGACTGTTTACCGTCTCACTCTGGTCAAGGCATGGAACGACGAGGAGATACAGTCCTACGCCGACCTGGTACAACTCGGCAAACCAGATTTCATCGAGGTCAAGGTATGAACTCTCACCCCACTCTCATTCTGAGGGTAAAACCTCTTTGGAAGAAAAAAAAATGCTGCAGAAAAAGTAAATGAGATAAGCGAGTGTACTTCACATTTTTTTTCTCTTATAGTGCAACATCAGCGGATATGCCTAGAAGACATTGTCGCATGCAGCTATGTATTTTTCTTCCTTAGTTTGCTTCTTGCATTTACGTCCATTCAAAGTTTGAGGGGGTTTACTGTTTAATACTCTTTTCAAATAATTACAGTCAAGCACACAACAAAATTAAGTATACTTCAAACTTTTTAATTAAATGTTTCTATATTTGGTGGCACTTCAGTTTCAATTATTTTCTTCACCTTTCCATTTTTTATTTTATTTTTCCTAGGGCGTAACCTACTGCGGGGAATCAAAAGCCAGCACCCTCACCATGCAGAATATACCATGGCATGAAGAAGTGGTTCACTTTGTCCAGAAACTCATGGACCTTCTCCCTGAGTATGAGATTGCCTGTGAACATGAGCATTCTAACTGTGTCCTGACTGCCAATACAAAGGTGGGAAGATTTTTACGTCTTCTAAAAATATTCATTGTTTGTGTGTGTGATTGGCCCTCTTAAATAATAATAATATGGATATTTATATAGCGCCGGTATCCGCCAGGCTCTGACGGTCATGGTGCTTTACACATATTACCCTGGTTATAGCTGAGCTGCCAAAGTAATTAGCGCTCAAGCATATCAGGAACCCATTCACACCTGGGTGGAGAGTGGCAAATTTAGATTAACGTCTTGCCGATGGACATTAGTCCCTTTTTGCAGACTTGTGCAAACTTGTGCAAACTCCATGAAACTTGGGGAGTATTTCAAATGTATCCTTCAGATATCGTGTGTGTAATTTTACAATCATAGAATCAGAAACTTCTTTGTAAGAAGTGAAAATCCAGCGATGTTCTCCTATTGCCGTAGAGGGAGCTCTTCTCAAATAAACAGATATAACAGTCAAATTATTTCTGAATTACATTCAAATGTTTTTATTAGCCTAGAAAATGAATATCTCAAATTTTATTAACATTTAAAACCTATTTATTGAAAGCCAGTTTCCATTTTGATTTCTTTTGGTGGGAGGTCCCTAACAGACCTCTTCAATATACCATTGGATTCAAGGAACTTCAAGTTTCCAGGTCTGCGAAAGGGACAAACCATCTTGAATGGATTCTTTTGAATTTAAAGACCGTCTGTACTAGTTTGGCCAGGGGAGATTAGAACTCCCTGCAAGGTCACTGATGGGTGGTTATCTCATCAAATCAGCTCTCAAATAACATAAGAAAAAGGGGATCATGGGGGACCATCAGGCACCAATTAGGCATTGTTTGCTGTATAGAGGGCGCAAGTAGCTATAAGTAGTGCAGTGAGGCTTTAAAGAAGTAATCAATCTTTGAATGACGTGTGTTTTGACTTCTTTTTCTTGCAGTTCAAGAGGGATGGGGAATGGTGGACGTGGATCGACTACTCACAATTCCATGCGCTGATGGCTGAATACGATGCGAGCGGAGGAGAGAAGATATTCAGGGCGGAGGACTACATGGCAAAGACGCCCCCATGGGCCGTGTACGGGAGCAAAGAGCAAGGTTTCGATCCGGAGGAGACCAGATTTTACAGGAAAGGCAAGAAAAAAGACTTGGGTGGATGTTAAAGGCCCACTGCACTACCTGTAGCTACTTGCGCCCTCCATATAACAAACAATGCCTAAGCAGTGACCATTGGTCCCCCATGATCCTCTTTTTCTTATGTTAACTGAGAGCTGAGTTAACCGTAGTTAACCACCAGTGACCTTGCAGGGTGGTTTTATCCCTCCTGTAGACTAGTACTGATAAGCTTTAAACTGGACCTTCTCTTAGAGACTGACTCAGAGACAGGGGTTTTGGAGCAAGAAAAATGATTTCTTCAAAGGAAAGAAATCAGAATTTGTATACATGATGATGAGATTGTAAAGAAAAGAAACATTTTAACTGTGTATGCTTATGGAATATGGAAAGACCCTATTAGGAAGTGGAAAACTTGATAATGTCAAAACGTCAAGAATCATCATCTTCATTTAGTATCTGTTTTTTCAAAGAAGAGAAGCAATATTTTTAGGAAGGACAAAACCATCCTGATATTAAAAAAATGGCTGACTTGTTGAATTTCTCAGGTTTTATATCCCATACGCCTGTGTGAATTGAAGATCAACCTTTTCATTATGTTTTAAAGAGAACCAACAATTCTTAGTAGTGTAAAAGAGATTCTGTAATACAAAGACTACAAAGTTGTTTGGATACTAATAAATCCCAATTTATATTATGAATATTCATAATCAGCAGGAAATGTATTTATTAATGATACATTCAATTTCTTAATCATGGCGAATCAATGGTATTATTCTGTTCTTTTTGTGCCTTACGATGAATATTTCAACTGTGCTCATTTTTTAATGAATAGTACTTGCTTTTGTATATCTTGAACTAAGTGTGTAGAATTCTGACAGCCAGTGCGATATATGTAAAGTGGTGTTATGGTATATTAGTTAATTCATGTGGTTGAGGGTTCAAATCCCAGCCCGGCACTGACGTCCTTTGGCAAGACATTCATACGGATTTGCCACTCTCCACCCGGGTGTAAATGGGTACCTGGCAATCGCTGGGATAATAATAATAGCAGGATCCTCGGGAAGAACAGCACTGATGCTGATGAGGTTTCCATGGGTAAACAAAGTGATTACGGTACAATTAATATTATTACTAATGAAATTGATAGTCACTTTGTACTATCATGGAGGTATAACTTCTAGAGATGATCAATGTTAGCAATTATGGTGTCGGGTAGTTTTAATCTGTATATATATATCCTTTCATTTCAATTTCATTTTAGATTTCAAGGTTTATGAAAAAAAAGTTATTGATTGATTGATTCTAATTCATTCCATTTCATATCCATTGTTTGCACAATAAACAACATAGTTGACAAAGTAGGTTCAAAATTATGAAATGAAACAGGAACCTACTGGAAAGCATAGCTTGTTTGTTTGTAGGTTCCCAAGAATAAATATGATATGAACATTATTCTCATAAATCATTTTAAAGTGTCTTAATTTTTTACAGATCGTAATTTGTTTATAATAACTTACAACAAACAAAAGCAGAATTTCAATGAACTTGTAAAGAGTCTAGAAATACAATTTCAAATATAAATACATTTTTTGAAAATTTTAAGTTATTCAAATATATTTTTGAAAAAATTCATTTAGTTGAATAGAAAATATGGTTTGTGCAAGTTACACATATATGTACATGTGATATAAATCTTGCATTTTGAGCTCTTGGTTAAAGGATGTCTACATTGTAGAGAGATGTCCATGTACACTTTAAATTCACGTCCAACGTGATTATGTTCAGATCACAGTGTAGAAATTTGATTGATAAGATGTTGTACCTCTTTTACTTTTAACCTCTGTGTCAAATTATGTTCAGGAATTTAGAATTCCAAATTCACTTTTGTTCCATTGTTAATATGTCTTCATACGTTTTCAAAATCTAAGAGAGCTTTTATACCGAGTTTAACCCCAGTTTTCGCCAAGCTCATAATAAGTGAATTATTGTAGCCCTTTATATATGTGTGTAATCAATCTTTGCCCTTGCCATACAAAAAGGCCCTGTTTCATCAAACTTCTTATCAATACAAAGTTACAATAACTGTGCTATAAGCAACTGAAATCGTGGCATTTGATTGGCTAAGAGCAAATTTGTCATAGAAATCAAGCGTTTGTTATTGATAACAAGTTTTATGAAACAGGGTCCTGATCCAGTCAATACTCTCGAGATTACTCTCAGCATCTCATCTCAAATGGTTTTGCTTATTTGAGGAAACTAGTGTGAAGTTCTACTCATGTAATTACATTATGAAAGAAATTGTCTGCAAGCAGTTGGAAATATAGTTGAATGTAGATATTGATATCATGATTATTTTTCTTTCTCTTTTGCAAGAGGAATATTTTATCGCTTTCTCATCATTGTCACAGGGTATGTATTCTTGAAGGTATTCTGAGCAAACTCACAACACTTTACACATTATTTTGGTAGAGTCACACAAATAAATAACAGAAGAAGGAATACATAAATTTGTAATGCATGTATGTAATTGTATATGATATTATGGCAGGGACTTTGGAAATTTGTTTTATATTTTTTATTTTAAAGATTTTAAATCTTCATGTTTGATTGTGAGGATATATATTAGCATCTCAGTTTGTTGGTTATACAGTGACATATGTGATATGTCCAATAAGATATGTTTGGAAATCGATTTTATTTAGCTTTACCAGCTTTTTTGTATAGATACATTGTGAATCGTGATACATGGCATAGGCAGTATTTTGTTTCATTTTGAACGACAAACAATGGAATCCTGGGACAAAGGATCTGATGATATTATTTGTGCCAATATGTACAAGCTTTCTTGCTGTGCATGAATTATATTCTCTGAAATATTTAGGTGAGGCTTTGGAACAATGATGGGAGAAAATGACATGAGCAGGTACATTCCATCATAGGAATATGCATGATCTTGTGAAAATTTTGTTTCATTCAATATTTTTACCCTACATTGATGTTTCAAAAGAAAATGAGAACATTTGTGTTAAACAATATTTTTTTTTTTACATTGGTCTAGAATCCTTGTATTTAAACTTGATTTTTTACTTTATTATTTGTTCATTTATTCATCATAAGTTCATTGATTCTACAAATGCTATTTTTATTATTACTCCTATTAGATTTGAGAGATATTACTGCATTGGGTTAAAATAAACATTCTCAAAATAAGATGCAGATTGACGAGTCATTTATCAATAAGAGGATGAAGATGTGGAGATAACGATGGATAGAGAGATGATTCAGGGATATAATAGAAACAGAGAATGAGAGAGAGAGAGAGAGAGAGAGAGAGAGAGAGAGAGAGAGAGAGAGTGAACGAGGGAAGGGCATAGGGTGAGATAGAGATGAGAGAGAGAGAGAGAGAGAGTGAAAGAAGGAAGGGCATAGGGTGAGATAGAGATGAGAGAGAGAGAGAGAGAGAGAGAGTGTGTGTGTGTGTGTGAAAGAGGGAAGGGCATAGGGTGAGATAGAGATGAGAGAGAGAGAGAGAGAGAGTAAAAGAGGGAAGGGCATAGGGTGAGATAGAGATGAGAGAGAGAGAGTGAAAGAGGGAGGGGCATAGGGTGAGATAGAGATGAGAGAGAGAGAGAGAGAGAGAGAGAGAGAGAGAGAGAGAGAGAGAGAGAGTGAAAGAGGGAAGGGCATAGGGTGAGATAGAGATGAGAGAGAGAGAGAGAGAGTGTGTGAAAGAGGGAAGGGCATAGGGTGAGATAGAGATGAGAGAGAGAGAGTGTGAAAGAGGGAAGGGCATAGGGTGAGATAGAGATGAGAGAGAGAGAGTGTGAAAGAGGGAAGGGCATAGGGTGAGATAGAGATGAGAGAGAGAGAGAGAGAGAGAGAGAGAGAGAGAGAGAGAGAGAGAGAGAGAGAGAGAGTGAAAGAGGGAAGGGCATAGGGTGAGATAGAGATGAGAGAGAGAGAGAGAGTGTGAAAGAGGGAAGGGCATAGGGTGAGATAGAGATGAGAGAGAGAGAGAGAGTGTGTGAAAGAGGGAAGGTATAGGGTGAGATAGAGATGAGAGAGAAAGTGGGAGAGGGAGAACAAATAAAAGTAAGAAAGAGAGGGGGTGGACATACAGTGAACAGAAAGGGCATGTAACATAAAAAGCAATTGGGGCGAGAGGGAAAGGATACTGTATAAAAGAATTATATACTCTAGTCATAGACAGGGGTAAAATGACATGATAATCAAAACATAAGGGAAATTGAGATTTCAAGGAAGCTTTAAAGGAACAATGGTTCAAATTTTCCCCTTACCCCACCCCTCCCTGCATATTTAGGCTTCAGTATGAAGACGCCCCATTTGCGCGACATATTTATAACTCGACTGTTTCCACTATGCATGCATGTAGTCATCTACATAACATATAACTTGACGCAAATAAAAAAGTTTATTTATGGGTGATTTATGGGTGAAAAAGAGTGGAATGGTGAGCTGAGCATACAGAGAAGGAAGAGAGAAAGATAGAGAGGGGGAGAGAGAGAGAGAGAGAGAGACAGACAGACAGACAGAGAGAGAGAGGAAGGAGGGAGGGAAGAAGGACGGGGAGAGATAGACAGACAGTGAGAGACAGGCGCGGATCCAGGATTTCTTAGGGGGGGGGCCCAAATTTGAAATTATGCGAGCCAAATATTGGTACGTAATGGTGACCAGCAGTGACGTAATGCAGGGGGATGTAGGGAGGGGCGAGTTTCCCCCTCCCTCCTCCGCAAAGCGCGGAAGCTATATATGACGTTTCATTAAAGTATTAGAGAAAGAAGACAATTCGTTGTACCGTTCTCGACTCTTAATCCTTGTCTAAATTCAGCCCCCTCCCCCCTCCGCGCAGCGCGGAAGCTTTGACGTTTCATTAAACTATTAGTGAAAGAAGACGATTTGTTATAGCGTTCTCGAAAATTATCCTCGTTTGAATGCAATTTTTCCCTCCCGCGCGAAGCGCGGAAACTTTTACGTTTCATTAAATCATTGACGAAAGAAAACGATTCGTTGTACCGTTCTCGACTCTTAATCCTTGTCTTAATTCAGTACCCCCCGCCTCCCCCCTCTTGCGCGAAGCGCGGAAACTTTTACGTTTCATTAAATCATTGGAGAAAGAAAACGATTCGTTGTATCGTTCTCGACTCTTAATCCTTGTTTAAATTCAGCCCCCCTCCGCGAAGCGCGGAAGCTTTGACGTTTCATTAAATTATTAGAGATAGAAGAGGATTCGTTGTACCGTTCTCTATACTGTTAATCCTTGTCTTAGTTCAGTCCCCCCCCCCCCCCCCTCCGAGAAGCGCGATCCACCGGCGGGAAACTTGCAAATGATATCCCCTTTCTTTTCTTCTTCCTCTTTTTCCTTCCCTTTATCTCCTCTTACCCTTTCCCTTTCCTTCCTTCTCTCTTATTTTTTGATTGGAGGGGGGGGGGGTGCAACAGCCTGGGAGGCAAGGCCCTTTCGCCCCCCCCCCCCGATATCCTTCTTCACCCGTTTGCAAGGGTGAAAGTAAAAGCGAAAAAAGTGGACACTCTCACATGGCTTCCATGGATGCCGTCTTTGTTTTCTTTTTGCCTTCTTCTTACTCCTTGACCGTTCGCGCATATTTTTTTTTACACAATTGTTTAGCCATATATAGTACATGTGCAAGCACGTATACCCAGGGAAGGGAAGGTAATAGAAAAGGGAAAACAAAAAAAAATACATAAGGAGAGTGCAGAGGATATGGAGAAAGAAAGACAAAGAAATACATAACGGAAGAGAAGAAGTCAGGGCTTTTAGGCACCAAATTACGCATCTAGGGACCCGCCTTAGGCCCCTTGGTGGAGTCCAGAGGGCAGAGCCCCCGAAAGCTCAAGGACTTTAGGCAATTAATTACGGCCAGATGAGCAAACAGGGGCCCGCCTTAGGGCCCTTGGTGGGTTCCAGGGGGTAGAGCCCCCGGGAGCTCATGGAAAAATACTGCCATTTTAAAATAGCAATACTTGTAAATCACTGGTATCAAATTAAAAATAACCCATGTTTAAATTGTATTGGGGGGGGGGTTACTGCCCCCCCCCCCATCAGTACGCCAGTGAAAGAGGCGGAGGTGACGGAAGGGACTACCCCCATAAAGCTGTATGATAAGTCTTATATGTAAACCCCTCGCAGGTTTTTGAAGTTTTGTTGTGTTACAAAATTACATTCTTTAGCAAAACTACAGCAAAAAAACAAGCAATATACTTTTTTCACGCTTCACTTTTACTTCGCCGATATCTAGTGTGCAGTCCGAAGGATTGTAAATATTTACTAGGTAAATTTTAGTAAGTACTGAGCAGGAAGGGACTTCTTAAAAGAGCAAGCTGAATATTCATTTTTGGAACACTGATCTATTTCTATAACTTTTAATCTTGTTAACATACAGTATAAACTGTACATACGTGATACCAACAGAAAACATATGTTCTACAATATTTACTTGTATATTTTTAGGATATTATGCGAAGGAGCGTAGCGACCGAGCGAGAAGATTTTAGCATTTCTATTAGTCTAAACGCTGTACTCTTGGGCCCACCAGAGCCTTAAAGCGTGTTGCAGGCTATAGTCAGTATTTGCTATACATTTTGTTGGTGTGCACTTTTTCAAATTATCCATGGGGGACGATCCCCCTCAGAAAATTGAGGGAAGACGTGTACCCCGTCCTTCCCCTGGGATCGCCGCCCCTGACTCGCACATTTCGCTTTCAATTGCAGAACGCTCTAGCTGTGTCCAAGAGAATAAATTCTCGGAATGTGGGGCATCTCGCAAAAGACATTGGGAAAAAAATGTGTCGTGTGAAAAGCCAGGGAAGGACACAGACACAAAGGCCCGAATTCACAAAGGAGGTTTGTAGACAAACCTTTGTTTATGTGCGTCATAATTATGACGCGTTTCAGACAAAGGTTTGTCTAAATCTTGGTCTGAAACGCATCGAAACGCGTCATATGAAGCACATAAACCTAGATTTGTTTACAAACCTCCTTTGTAAATTCGGGCCAAAACCTCCATGGGTGCGATGTGACCTGTGTGGACGTTGGCTCCACTTATTTTGTGTTTTGCTCAAAAAACTATCCACAAAAAAGGACTATGTATGCCCCTTTTTTGAAAAGACCTATCAATATTAATGTTCTCATATCAGTCCCTTTTTGGATTGCCCTCCTCCCGTCCCCCCGCCCCCCCCCCCCCAAAGAAAAAATATTATCACATTGTTACATGTGTGCACAATATATATTGATGTGTCAACCTAACGAGAGTGGTGTTTTCATAACGATTATTGACCTCCTTTAAATTTATATTTATATGGAAGACTTAAGAAGACAACTGTTTACAGTCCAACTAAGGGTGTAGAGCATGCCGTGTAGACTAAAATGTGCAATGTTGTTCAATTTCTGAATTCTTTGTTTAAAAAACTTGCTTGCTGTCAATAGTGTAATAGTGTATACATTTTTTATACATTTCAAATGTCTAGTCCGGTTAAAAATAGCACGTAATGATTTCATTATTTGACACGTACTTCACATTGATTTATCTTATCGATAAGCGAAACGATTTGCTTTAGTATCATATAACAAATATAACAGTAATGACAAGTATGATTTTCCCAGAAAATTGCATTATACAATGTATATTCATCATTATGGAAAATGTTGTATTATATACAACAATGGGCATTAACATTTTTTAGACCAATGATTTAATTATGTTTAATATTGAAGCTGTTGCCCTTTGTATATACATGAACTTGAAATAATAAGTAGCCTTGAAAGTGTCGCAATAAATCATGTGTGAGTGAGCTTGAAGTTTAATGGTGTAGGTTTGTTTGATACTGTATAGCCTTTACTCTGTTTTTAATGAGATATATCTCCAATCAAATCAAACTGAGTGATGTTATCGTTTAACTTAACAATATCAATCTTCTGTTCTTTTAAATAAGCCTGGAAAACTTGAAAATTGCATTACAATGTGAATTCATTGTCAGTGAAAATGTAATACAATACACACCAATGGGCAAATTATTGTTTCCAGACCAATGATTTAAGTAAGAAGAACTTACATTTTATATTGAAACTGTTGCCGTTGTATATACATCAGGCGCGGATCCAGGATTTCTTAGGGGGGGGGGGCAAAATTTGAAATTATGCGAGCCAAATATTGGTTCGTAATATTGGTTCGTAATGGTGACCAGCAGTGACGTAATTATGGGTGGGTGGGTGCAGGGAGGGGCGATTTTCCCCTCCCTCCTCCGCGAAACGCGGAAGCTTTGACATTTCAATAAATTATTAGAGAAAGAAGACGATTTGTTGTACCGTTCCCAAAAAATAATCCTCGTCTGAATTTAGTTTTCCCCCTCCCGCGCTAAGCGGAAGCTTACGTTTCATTAACTCATTAGAGAAAGAAGACGATTTGTTGTGTCGTTATCGACTCACTCTTAATCTTTGTCTAAATTCAGTTCTTTTGCCCACCCCCTCCCCCCCCCCCGATTCACAAGTTGTTGGCGGTAAAATTGCAACTAATATCCCCTTTTTTTTCTTTTCTTCTTCCTCTTTTTTCTTTCCCTGTATCTCCTCTTTTCCTTTTTTCTTTCCCTTTCCTTCCTTCTCTTTTATTTTTTGATTGGGGGGGGGGGGGGGACAACAGCCTGGGAGGCAAGTCCTTTTGCCCTCCCCCGATCTACTTCTTCCCTCTTTTCTTTTCTTCTTCCTCTTCTTTTTTTCCCTTTCTCTCCTCTTTCCCTTTCCCTTCTTTCCTTCTCTCTCTCTCCTTCTTTCTCTCTCCTTTTTTTTTTTTTTTTTTTGCGGGGGGGGGGGGGGGGGGGCAAGGCCCGCTTGGCCCCTCCCCCCCTGGATCCGCGCCTGGTGAGAGAGACGCAAAGAGCCAGCTAGGGGTGAAAATAATAATCAAGAAGCAACGATTAGTCTCCTTTAAAAACACACTGCTATTAGAGTCCCGCGGCATAACATGTTAACATTGAAAGGTTAACGCCGGTCTGTTTCATAAATGATGACTGTGTCCACCGTGACATGAAAGAGCTCCCCTTTCGAGCTACAATAATTGTCTTCTTCTGTGTAGATTGAATTATAACTGCAACAATCGAGGTGTGATAACTGACCATGAGACTCTCTCTGTAGAATCCAGCTTGCTCTTTGTATTGGTGGTGCACTTGTCTCGTTTTCTTTTTGCTTCTGCAATTATATAATATATAATAGCGTCTGTCATAAAGATCATTGTTTCAATGTGACGATAAAATATTAAATATGTGGGACTGTATTCCCCCAAAGTACAGTTCGCGCCATTGCGCAAAAACATAATTGGCCGCTACCCCCTGCAACACAATGGAACATTCCAAGACATTGAGAATTCTGCAAAATATGCACCTCGTGAATAATATATTAATACGTAACTTGTCCTATCCTGAGGACTTCAATGCATTTCTAGATCACAATGGCTACAATTTCATTTAAAAAGAAAACTTTAGTTTGCGAGTAGAAATAGTACTCTTCCCCATAATTTCACAAAAATGTATTTGCCCCCGCATACAATATGACGTATATACTGAACCCCACAAAGCAAGGTCACATTCATGTACGTATGATAATTGGGTTCATGTTCTAACGTTCGCGCCTTATTCAGTGGCAGGAGTACTGATGGGGAATCCCCCTATGTTTGATCATGGCGGACAGCATGTATGACACTCTCACTCTCGGTTTAACTGGCTTGACGATCGAGCTATATCGGTTAATCGGTGAGTAGATGTTTGGATTAGAATAGGGTATATTAAAACTCCTTTAGCCGTCTTGTGGTAGTATATTCGTGTTAGCATTTTAGATAATTATTATTTAGGTGTGTTATATATGAACGCCAGTCTGTCGATTCAACCATGCAGTAATATTTCTAAGTCTGTTCGCGGCATTAGGCATTATATGTGTCATTATGTGCACTGTGATAGTTTATAGACCTGCATAGCATGTTTGATGTTAGTTAATTTTGAATGGATGAAGTTAAAGCTAAGAGTTCCTTTACCATTCCCAATGGTGTAAAAGAAATAGGAAACTATGATCATTTTAAGAGGAAATTAAAGGAATGCCTAATACTTGACAGTCAGAGAAGAGAAGTGAATGACATGTTGTATGATTGAAATTTTTATTCTTCTGTCGGTTCATACTTTTTCATGTTGTATATACTTATGTTTTCGTACGTTATAGAAATTCTACAAATTCATCATTATTTTCCTCTTCTTCCTTCTCCTCCTTTTCTTCTTCTCCTTCTTCTTTTTCTTCTTGTACTTAATATCATTTCTATCATCAGTTTAATGTTGTTATTATTATTATCTTTAATAAGTAGTTCTTTTAATTTTCTTATCTGTCTGTAAATATTACTATTTTAACTTATTAATTTTATACATGTCTGTAAGGGACCCCACTGGAAATAAGCTCTCGAGCTTTCGTGGGTTATCCTGTTCAAGCTGACTTTTTTTGATCTGTTATTATTGTATATTGTTGTATGTTGGAAGCTTGTCGAATAAAAAATCAATCAATCATTACAAAAATATAAAATAGCTATCTCTTTCTGCTTCCTCTTCTGGTAGAGAGTAAAAGAGAGAGAAAGAGAAAAGAATCGCTACCTGCACCTTTGGCTACATTAGTAATTTATGGGGGGGGGGGTCCGAATTTTTAGGGCTTGCCATATGTTTCAATCGTATCGAAAATAAATCGAAAGACAATTCAGTACTCATTACTAAAATTAATTTAATACACGTTTGTACTTGTTAGAAATGTATACAAAGGTACTTCAAATCTTAGGTGTACCAATTGTTTGTATGATTGTGTAATTTTAGTATATGTGACATATTTTCATGTCGATGTAAATATTCTTGAATTCATTCAGTAGCAGTTCTAGATGGGAGTTAGGGGCTGCTTCCCCTTTCTTCTAGCCCCCCCCCCATTCTTGTCTGGATTTCAAACGGTTTGAAGGGTAGCACTTGTAGGAAATGAACCCCAAACACATTTCAAAGCTCCGAATCCCCTTTATACATCTGGAACCGTTCAACCACATCTGCATGCCGACATTTTTGTTAGTGCCCACTTTCAGTAGTATCGCACATACATTATTATTGGGCACTATACATGTATGAATATGGTACAGAGAGTGAGGTAATGGATAGGAAATGTCGGAAATTGAAGGAATTTCCGTTGTTCTTTGGAGCTTTTTTTCCAGATGATGTTTTTCTGATATTTTAATCGACTCTTATCATGTTTATGAAATATTACTACGTTTAAAAAATTGTTTATAAGCCTTTCATGATCGTAAAAAGGAATAAAACTATACAGTGCCTACAATGACAACAAATTATACGGGGACAAATCTAAACATCAGTTGGAATAATAGTTAAACAATAAATCCAATGATGGCTATAATATTGTCATATAATTAAGGGTATAAGTTCTTTAGGTAATTTAGGCATAGTCAGAAAGTGTAAAAGGAAACATAAGCGTGATCAGTGGAGGAGTCTATTAAAAAGCACCGCTTTTATTTTGTAGGCCCTCTCTGATAATATTCTTGTGTTCTTAATAATCTTCTTGCTTTCATTGATGCAGATTTCTTGAACAGCACCCTGCACAATTATGAACAACCGCTCAAAAGAGGTTACTCTCATTCGGATACCTCGATCCGACGTCCGTATTATCCGGATGATACAGTCAGCATATCCGTATTGCTGTACATTGTAACCCTGCCACTCTTAGTTGTAAGTTCAGCTTCATATAACTTTTAGCTTCCCTCACCTCTATATAAGAATGAAAAGTGAAGATGAAAAGAGGGAGATTAAAGTGGTTATTGCTTCTAAGAGGGAAATAAAGATTCAAGTCCTCCGAGAAAATAAAATAAAATGACAAAAGGGTTTGACTCTGACTTTAACAGATAGCCAAAAGATTTCCAATCAATGCCATACCCAATGTTCCTTAGTTTGATAATTTGATATTCTTTGAAACCAGAGAGTCGGTACATAAGGGTCGGATCTTTCGTAAACTTCAGATTAAGGATGGAGTATGGAACTCCGAAACATGTCCCATTCATTTAAACATTACGGTTGAATTCTACTCAAATATAAACCCAGACACTCGACTGGAGCCTAACAATCAGGATTAACAAAGAAAGATAGTCTGCGGTCTAAATTAACCTCTATTAACCATGATTTCAGATCGGGGATCGGGTTATAATGAATAATATAGTAGAATACAGACCTAGGTGTCTTGGTGGTATTTTAGTTGTGTTTTTTTCTCCAATATAAACCAGAACAATGACCATGCTACTATATAGTATTACCACTATACTGCTATTTACTATTACCAATACAATTTCCCTTCTACCATGTTTTCGCTCCAACACCTATTTGCTTCTTTCCTTTCGATGCAATTATAATATCTTACATATTATGGCATCAGATCACCATTCGGATGTTCGTAAACCCAGTTGGAAGCGATACCACCCTCCATCGACCAGGCCCTATGGGGTTGTTGGGCGGGGCCTTTCTCACGGCCCTCATCACTGCCGGTATTAAGCTTGTCATCGGGAGATTGGCGCCAAATTTCTACGAAGGGTGCCAGCCATCCCACCCATCCCAGCCATACACGATCTTTTGGAGTAAACATATCGATTACCAGGCATATTATACATGCGATTACCCCGAAAGGCAGAGAGAAGTTAGGTATAATTTATATACATTGGCTATCGATATTTTCTTGATGGAAGGGGGGGGGGGGTTAGATCCACCATTTATGTATCGGAAAGTGTTTTATGTTTAGAGTGTCATGAACAGAGAATAAGTAAGTGAAATAAGCTATAAAAAAGGGTATTTTAATGACATATAATGAAGTGATATTGTATTATATTTATACACTGCAAATTCGTTGTGTAACGACTTTACACAACATTGGGTGGTTCACTCCTTATACACAGGGGTTGTGTTAAGTTGTGTACAAAAATTAATCTGTATTTTTTTTTACACAACTGAACACAATCCTATAAGGAGTGAACCACCCAATACTGTGTAAAGTCGTTACACAACGAATTTGCAGTATACAAGTCTGAATTCTTATAAAACGTTTATAAAACGCTCATATTCGCCTGCATCAGGGGCCTATTTATAAGGCGCTGTAATAATATGCACACGTTCTGCTCTCCTGAAGAAACCGGTTAAATGGTATTTTTTTAATTCTCATTTTATTTGTCAAGAAGTGTTCGTACTTGATACCATCCAAACATTTCTATTGCTATAGGACGGGTATAAATAACTTCATTCATCGGTAAAATATAAAACCAACGAAATGCTAAAAACAGTTTTTAATGTGTTTTTGTTTTCACAGTCGATCTTTTCCCTGCATATACACGTCTTTGTCATCTTTCTCTTGGATGTACTTGTTGGTAGGTTTCAGAAATGTTTAATTATTTTTTCATACTTATAACATATTTTGTTAGACCTTTAAGAAAGTCTCCGTTGTTATGAGTTAATCTTTGTCCATCTAATTTTTTTCTTTTCATCGCGTTTCGGAAATCTTAGCAGAATCCGGCCAAACTTTGATTGTTGCCGATTGTAGATCAAAATCAAACTAATTACGGGCACAGATGTTTGTTTACTTGTTAAAGAAAGTGAAGAAAGTCAAAAAAGTCAAGCCTCGTCAGTTAACGGGACAATGTACTTAAAACCAAGTGTTTTGCTTCATCTTATTTCATTTTTTCAAGTGCTGTTCTACAATTTGATTCGTACTCAAATTTTGCCTGACACCAAATCATGTTTCTTTTATTTGATTTTTGTCGTTAAGTCATTGCAGACACAGTATTGATGAAATGATTTATTTCACATAACGAACATAACGAAAATCCATGCATCCATGTGCAACGTGTCCGTTAGAATAAATACTGTTCGTTTGCCGTTTAAAAACAAAATAATTTTTGATCTCCAGCAATATGGTCAAACAGTATCACTATTTTTAAACTTCTTTAGATATATTGCTTCTACAAATCATCATCATCACTTAGTCTCAGAACAGTCACCATCTTAATCTGTCTTGCCCCGCCCACCTTCATCGCAAATACCCGGCTCCGTGACCACAGAAGTCATCCAGGTGACGTCATAGCAGGATGCATGCTGGGTGTTTTCATCGCATTGGTCTCGGCAATCGGTAGAAAGGAATCGGCGATGGTCGAGAGCGATCAAGTAAGGAATTTAGTTGCTATCTTTTCTATGAGAAAATATGAATGATAAACTAGTCTTGATGAAGAAAAATAAATTAACAACCAAACATAAATATATGCCCTATCTACCAAAATATGAAACGAAATAAGAAAATGTTTATTCCTGTGCAAGACAAAGAAAGAAAGAAATATTAGTTTAAGATGATCTAGAAAGAGAATAAGTAAGAAAGGCCAAACTGAAGATGATACAAATCGGTAGACTTAAAAAGGAACTGAAGATTCACGGTGATGGATGCAATTAAAATTCAACATTAATAACGTTATAACTTTGGATGACTGATAACGGCTCACTCTACCATCTAAAAAAAAGTAGCAAATTCTAGTTCGCATTATTATAAAATTTCATCTCGTTAGATTATTATTATAGTGATGCTTAACCATGTCAATTACTTTCACTACTATATTATTGTCCCTTTCCTTCTTCCTTCAGGAAATTCCACGGGATCAAGATAACGAATGGGACATGATATCGGAGGATGAAATGCAAGAAGGTTTGTACATGAATTTTGACGCTTGAAATATCGACCCTCAAATCGTGTTTTTCTTTTCTTTCGGTCTTTATTGTCTGATTGATTGATCGATAGGTTGCTTTCGTACATATTCCATGCAAAGTTATTAAAATATAATATATTTTACGAAATGATTAACATTTCTTTAAGCGAAGTAAATAATCCTGAATCATAGTAGGCATGTATAAGAATGTTCTGTAAATCGTAAAATACGGAAATGAAAAGTGAACCTACTTAGAAGATGGGCTTGTTGCGAGTCGGTCCACTGAATTAAATTACTAACTTAATATACATAAGAAAAATGACCGAGAATACACATAAACTATAATAGCCCGAGACAAAAATTAAGAGAAATGAAACAAAATACAAAATGTTGCGGCTAAGAGTAGAAGAGAGAGGAATAGAGGGGGAAAGGATAGATATATAGATGGATATATGTATAGGTAGATAAATAGAAATACAGGTGGGTAGACGGAGAGAGAGAGAGAGAGAGACTGAATTATGAGAAAATCAACTTAAAATAAATTATATTATAGAAGATGGTGCACGGCGGAGTCATGTACGCGTATCGCTAGTATGCATTTTAAGATTATCTATTTCTTTTCTGAAATTTTTTCTTAATAATTCACTCTTGACCACATTTTATCTTTCTAGTACAGACGGAATTTAAAGTCTATCTGCACTAGTTTGGCCAGGAGGGATTAGACCTCCATGCGTGGTCACTGACATGGTTCTCTAACCAAATCAGCTCTCAATATTATTAACATAAGGCATTGTTTGTAAATAGCGGGCCCAAGTAGCTACAAGTAGTGCAGTCCCGCTTTAAGTTGATTTTTCGAAAGTCGTTGCGATTTCGTAGATACTGCTTTTCAAGTTCAAGTTGAATAATATCATTTGATATTAATTACACAGAGCCGATACAGCCGACGGTCAGAGTTTGTACATCGGCCCTTTACTCTAACATCGAGGGATTCGTGGTCGAGCTCAGAGACCACTCATGCGATCTCGTCGAGGACGTGAAACACGTGGAGCTTCCTTACAACGATCTCGACTCTTTCACCCTGGATGGCTGGGATAAGAGTGACGTCGTCATATTGTGTCACTCGATCGAAAATCGGAGGCTATCCCTTACTGACGTCACAGATGCTCTGTACGATAACTTTATACAGAAAGTTTCGAAGTTAATCGGTAAGCGAAATTATTTTCAGATCTTATTTTAAGGCCTTTAAATTATAAATAAACCAAGAATGATATGATTGTTAAATAGTATAAGTTTGAGAATGAGCCTTGTCCTCAGTTTCGACGCCACAGGGGGGGGGGGGGGGTACACCGATTGAATGGCCAAAACAAAAAAAGGAAAGGATAGTAAAGAATTGAATGAGAGAGGAAGAAAGGAAAGGAGAGGGGAAAGGTCGATGCACTGGATACCGCTGCATTAGAATTCTCCTGCGTCAGACTCAACAAATATAAGTAAATTATTTTTGGATGTTGTAAAGTCAAGACATAATATTATTATGCCTTATAAAGAGATGTTTTTAAAAGGGGGAATGTTATTTGTTTTATTATCCAGGCAAGGACGCACTCATCGTGATTGCTCATGATTTCAAATGGACAGATGATCAGCCCCCCAAAGTTCGAAAGGACCAAGAAGAGACTATTCGGGCCAGGCAGCCCACCGTCTACAAATTCGCGGAAATGTCATTTTGGCGGGAAAACTTGGCAAACAGAAATCTCCTAACGTGTTGCGTGACTGTGACTGGGATGTCATCCTTGCCGTCATCTACGAGAAGGGAAAGACGGGAATGATAGACACATGATCTTTTTGAATCTAAATTTTTAAACTCCAGTTCAACTTTGAATTAACAATATCAGGCAGGCGCGGATCCAGGATTTCTTAGGGGAGGGGGCCCAACTTTTTTTTTTTTGCTCCCGAAAATTTAAAAATCGCGCCGGCGTGTACAGGGATGTATGACCAATTTTAGACACTCTAGAAAACATACTTCTTCCCTGAATAGTTAGCTTAAGCCCTTTTCTTTTCCCTATCCCTTTCAAACATTGTGCATGTACCTTTTCTGATGAAATTCAAGTGTGTGTTATGTAAGATTATTTAGTGTTAACGCTGTGATAAAGTGTACTATGGAGAGCGCACTAAATACTAGTTATTATTATTATTATCATTATCATTTCTATGTGGAGTAAGTTCCGAAAAGATTCTGACTCCAGTGTTCTTTCGTAAAAAGAAGTATACTAATTTTGTCTCGTAACTTTTTTGTATCTTCTAGGCAATGGTAATGATTTCTTACACATTCCAATTATGCCTACCTTGAGCACGGAGGCTTAATGTGTGTTGAAGTCATTTATTATTATTATTTGTATAAGATTATCTGACGTATTAAAGGTTAACCATTTTGCCATAATAAATGTTAATACATTCTTTTGGTGGGCGAGATTCGAGGAGAATTTGAAACAATTTCCTAGCCATTTATGGATCTTACACGTTCACATGAAAAGTATGGTAGCCCCCAAACAATTGTTCAATGTATACGCACCTCTCTTCTGCAGCAATTTTGAGGAATTCCTTGCATCTTGACAGTCATGTCTAGCGCGACTGATAAACACTACAGTGTATGTAAAAGAGCTTTTATAAGTGCAATATTCTTCTTTGAATACCTAATGCTGCTTTTTATATGTACATGTGTATATATTTTTTATTTTGTTGTGACTGAAGCTGCTTTTTCCATGTATTTAATGACATTTCAAATGGTTTAATTTGAATGTTATACAATACCATTAATTACATTACCCAGAAGCATCTTTATCCTTTCATACTCAAAATGTACAATTTTACCAACAAAATAAAATCCCCATATTCGCTCACACCATATAATATCACAATGCAATTATGTATCTTATTATCGGGATTTTTTTTTTTTTTTTTTTTTTTTTTACTCCTCTTCTCCTTCCTCCCCCTAATCCGTCTCTCTCTCTCTCTCTCTCTCTCTCTCTCTCTCTCTCTCCTTTTCTATCTATCTCCCTCCCACTCCCTACCAGCTCTTAATCCTTTCACCCCTTCACTCTCCTCAATTTCCCTACTCTTTACTTTGCTTGTTACAATTATTCATATTTTACCGTAATTTTAGAATGTAACAACTGACACATCAGATGATTATTAAGTTAATCTTTATCATTGTTTCTCGTATTTTCCGTTCAGTCTCGTCCCTCAATTTCTCTCTCTTCCCCTCTCTCTCTCTCTCTCTCTCTCTCTCTCTCGTTCAAATTGTTGTATTACTAATTTACTATGATATATGTATAAATTTGTAAAACATTCTGTCATTTGTCATGTGGTCCAACCAAATATATATATTTTTTTTTTTTTAACGAGGGCTCTTTTCAAATTTTCCGTTATAAAAAATACCCCCCTTAACTATTTTGCGGTGGCTATTTTGGATCTTGGGGGGGGGGGGCTTTTTATGGTTGTATTTTTTGTGTGGTCCTGATCATATATTTGCTTTGTATGTTTTATGTATTCTATTTTCTATTGTATGTTTTGCTTTTGCATGTATATATATATATATATGGTTTAAAAATTCAATACAATTCAACTACTTTACCTTATAAATCCATGTAATTTAGCTGCTAGACTGCATGCCATTTGAAATTCTTTGAATAAATACCAATACAAATAACAATGTAACTAAGGAAAGAGTATGGAAATTCGTTGCCGTGTTAATGCGTAATTCTCTTTCTATCTTTCTCCTTCTCTCCCCCCCCCCCTCTCTCTCTCTCTCTCTCTCTCTTTCTCCTTCTTTCCCTCCTCTCTCTCTCTTTCTCTCTCTCTCTATCTAACTCACTATTAAAGTATCCATAAAGTGAACCCCTCTCCCATCATCTCCTATACTCTACCCCTCTCTTTTTTTTCTCTCTCTCTCTCTCTAACTAAGTATCCATAAAGTGAACCCTCTCCCATCTCCTATACTCTACCCCTCTCTCTCTCTCTCTCTAGCTCTATCTCTGTTTCCGTCTCTCTGTTTCTGTATTTGCCCCATCTCCCTATTCTCTACCTCACTCTTTCTATATTTACCTTGCTTGAAAGTATTCATCATCTCACGAAAATTATGAGTACATCTCAAAACATCGCAAAACAACGGATTCACGGTCAAGACATTTGTACATCGTATTCAATTTCAGTTTCAAAAAACATTTTTATTTCATTAAAAAGGAACAGCATCTAGCTACCTCAATGAAAGTCTCTTAAAGCCCCATTGTACTACTTATAGCTACTTGCGCCCTCTATATAGTAAACGATGCTTAATCGGTGACCGTTGGTCCCCATGGTCCCCTTTTTCTTATGTTAATTGAGACTTTTGAGAGCTGATTTGATGAGATAACCACCTGTAAGTGACCAAGCAGGGAGGTCTAATCGCTCCTGGCCAAGCAAGTGCAGATAGGCTTTAAAATGAATACATCTGACATGTGCAAAACAAACATAATCCCCTAATTATTTTATCTTGTTATACCTGTTTCATTCCGTAATGAATATTCATATATTTTTCTATGATTTGTTATGCAAGTATCCGTAATGACTACTCACATACAGCATTAATGCAAACCACTACCTTTGTTTCTCCACATTTTCGTCACATTACACATTCAAAAATAAAAACGTGTGTTCATCCACAAAAGTCATTTATCTGACAAATTAAAAACAAACAAAAGATTTTGAGAAAGATTAATAATTGCATACACTTGAGAATGATTCTTCACTCGTTAGCAGTACTCTACTATCATAAAATAATAATGCTCTATCAGAACCTCTAACCCAAAACATCACATCGGAATGAATGCATCAGAATAACAAATCTAGTACACTATCAAAGTACTGCAATTATCAAATACATTAAAGTACTGCAATTATCAAATACATTAAAGTACTGCAATTATTAAACACATTAAAGTACTGCAATTATCTAACACATGGTACAAGGTATATATTTCCTTCATTCTTGCACATAGAGTTTGAGAATTTGTTCATGAAATAATCGTGATAATCTGATTTATTATTGATGTTTAAGGCTCATATCTTCTCAGAACTGTTTTTATCAATAAAGATTGATAAACAAAGTTCTCAGAAGAAAGAAACTTTATCTATCAAGATTAAATCGCATTCTCACAATTTTTTCATGAAAAGAGATTAGAAAAATGTATCCCAACTTAAGTGACAACAGTGGAGTTACTATATAGAATGGGACTACACTGTCATCACTGTCATGTATAACATTAAATATTATTTCTAGGAATCGCTTCCGGGGAAGTATAGTAAATACATGTACATATTATGTATTGGCTATCTATCTAGTAATAATAATAATACATGTATAAGGTAATAGTAATATTGAGGCAAGAGAGGATCATATTGCCTCAATATTAATCAATCAATGATATCAACAAATGCAGAGACTTTGAGAAATCGACCAAAAGGCAATTTCCATACACTATTATACAGTGCGTATCAAAAAGAGTATACCCAACTTTGGTAGCTCCTTATCAATGAGTCATTACTAATGAGACTTCTAATTCATAATGAACAGTAACCTGTTTACCGCGTAATGATTCTCTATTCATAATATCGCTGCCACGGATGACTGAACACCAGGGTGTTTTACAGGTATTGTCAAAAATCACTTTGTACCAAGTTTTGGCTGATGGAACTATACTTCTGTGGTCTTTAATCTTTTTAAAAGTCAAATTCTGCCTCGTGCTACAGTGCTTCATTGTTTAAGTGATGCAATGTATCTGGGCTTTCACAGGACTCTCTATATAGTGTGTGTTTCTTAGCTTGCTAATAAGAATAAATTCAAAGTATAGCTACAATGGAGGCTTGCTACACCTTCCAATGTCATCTATGCAAGGAAGGGTAGGTGGAGATTCCCTGAGTTAATTAAAAGGGGTTACCTACATAAAGAGCCGCATACCCAGCTCTATATAGTGGTCGATGGTAAAACTCGAGTTGCACTTTAACATAACTGATTTTTTTTTTTTTTTTAATTTAAAGCCACATAATAATCAATGTCCATTTGCCTTGTATCGTAATTCGCCGACATCAGATTTGGTTGAATTATTATCTACCAATATACGTATAACGTGTGTGCACAATGCACATCTCTCTCGAGCAGCGAATTTCACAAAAGCTACAAGAGATTATACAATGTATTTTAGATACTTTGCTTGTACAAGGAGTCGCTAGATACAATTATTTTGATGTGTGTTGCGTATGCGTGTGCATGTGGAAGTGTATGAGGGGAGGGGTTTTGTTGCAATTTTCCGACTATAGAATTAATAATTTGCCCGCACACAATATTAACGGGGGTGTTTATAATTATATTCCCAACATACCACTCTAGCTACGCTCCTGTATATGCACCGCGACTATTATAAAACCAATTTTTCAAAAGTCTCCTCTCCTGGCGGGCATTCAGCGTAATGTTCAAGGTCCGCCTCAAGTTGGTGGTGTTTCACTTCGTCATCATTCTCTTGTTTGCCAGGCGACTTCAAAATCAGCATCAATACAGGCACAACGCCCGCCACGACCACCGTCGCGAAAAACTCTACAGTGGCTGGCAGGTCACTCACTCCGTCAATGAAAATGATCGTTGCCAGTCCGAAGGCGACGACGATTGCGATGATGAGTAGTTGAAAAAGAGTGCTAGCGACCTCGAGATAGACGGGTTGGTATTTTGCGATGACGAGTTTGAAGAGGTGGAGCGGAATGATGGGGACGCCATTTTTAAATTCAACCAACCGGCGACCGGGGTTGGGCTGAACAGTTTGGTTGTCCATGACGGGCTGAAGTTCGATGTCTTCCTGATCGGTTGCGTCTCCGTCGTTTACATCACAGGTGGTTTCGCTAACAGGTCGAGGATGTGGTGTCGAAGAGTTCCTCACCGACTTCCACGTCGATTCTTTATACACATGGTCAGCTATTTCAATTGTCCTCTTCAGCAGAACACAGTATTTGTCATAGAAATTGGTAGCTGCTGTGATCAGGTACCCGGCAACTGTGATTATGACTATAACAACCGGACCTGCAAAATCGGAATTCAGGACAAATCCGATGAAAGTGTACCCGATAAGCTCGGCGATGTAGACGAACGCGGCAACGAAAATGAAAAGGACGGCGAAGGAGAGGAACATTGCCATGAAGGCAACGAAGACTTCGACGGCCTTCACGTTGTTACTCAAACACTTGGCAATGGTCCATGTCAACATGTAGATAAGAGGTACAGAATTTAATAACAGGAAGAAACAGAATATGATAAGAGCGAATGGGAAGACGATAATGAAGATGAGGAAGGTGACGAGAAGGCGACATTTATTCTTGTTTTCCTCATCCTTCCGCCCACCTAAGAGACCATAAGTGAAGTTCCATATCGGTGAGAACCAAAAGCTCCAAATTGCAGGGTTGATGGCCATTTGTGTGCGGTACCACATGGTGTACATGAACATGCGGAGTGCTGTGTTTGATGAACTTGGTTTCTCTGGAACACACAGCTCCTCTGGCAATTCAAAAGCGAAGCCGAAGTAAATGCGATCTGCACGTTTCACTTCAAGACTGTTGGGCACAAACGAATCGTCGTATAGGTAGAGACTAAGGAACAGCATGGCTATGGCCAGGAACATGGTGTTCACTAGGATGAACCAAAGGATGACGAGGCCCTTGCTTAAGAGGAGTCCGTAGGCGACTTCGAGGCGTTGAACGAACGCCTCGTCGCTCACGACGTAAGACACTATGTAAGGAATGAACGGAATGATCATAAACGCGACTACATATACGAACCACCGGACAGCAACAACCACTGGGTAGTCTTGAAAGCTGAAGCAAAGTAGGTATTTCAGTCCAAGAGGGAGGTCGGCATTGAGTGCGATGTACTCCTTTCCATCTTTCTTGATAGGTTCTTGTTTCCTGATAAAGAAACTGGCTGCCAAGGGCGAGAACAGAGCTAGGAGGAAGCCAATGGCAAAGATGGCGCCAAGCCATCCATGCTTAAGAACAAGGGTTGACTCTGTCTCGAAAGGATTCTGGTTCCCTGCCCAACACTCATACATTGTGCTCCCTTGGAAGACATAATAAGTGCAAAGAGGTATGGCATAAACCCCGATGAGGTCAAAGTCATCAGACCTCTGCTTTTCCAGACATACCATCGCTCCTTTGTCGGCATAGAATTCTTTGTTGGTGATGTCTAAGGTGTCGTTTGTCGAGTGAACGAGACTGTTGATGAACCTGGCTATGATCCGTTCTTTATCATCGTCTATGGCCTTCCCAAAGCAATCATCAGGAGGGGTAATGACAGGCACCCCTACGGTGACCACGCCCAAACTGAGAGTCCCTAGCGAAAGCTGCTCAAAGTCAAACGGGTAGGAGAGAAGCAACTCGCCTTTCCCCTCAATGGCCCACACCCATGTGGTCGGCTCAATGACATCGGAGCTGTTATCATAAACATCTTGGAGATTTGAAAAATTCAGTTTGAAGTAGATGAAGACAGCATTATCTTGGAAGACTTCTCTCATCCTATCCTCAACATCTCCTTTCTCATCGGGTGGGAGGGTTAATATACAGTCCGTAGCAGACGACGATTGACCTTGTGTAACCTCTGGCGAAGCGTTCTGGAGCGTGGTAGTTATAGTATCATCGATCGCCCCGGTGGTTGGAACCACAGAAGTGGTATTCCCAGAGGTGTTTGTCACCGTAACAAGCAACAAACACATTATAATACTCAGAATACATCGCACATGTCGACTCGACTTTTCCATTTTGCAAACCGCCATGATTCACATGCAACAAGAGTTAACTATGACCATTTATTTCTTCCACGCGGGACCATTTAGAACGTCACTAGTCATATACACAATCGCATTCAGTTCGTGCCCTTTACATACCAAACACAGCAGCTTGGAATACTTGTCACTCGAACTCTCGTATGTGCGGTATGTAACAGTATCCTGAACTCAAACTTGAAATCGTTCCTCGTGAAAACGTTCCTCGTGTCACAAACAAAGTCTTGATGAACCATAACAAGATATCTTCCACAGGTATTGCAATATATTTCTCTTTGTAAGTATGTACCAATGTGCCACTCCCGAAACATGTAGTGTAATATATGAATACGTGGGAGCGTATAGAGAGAGAGTATACCACACTTCTCTACGTGTGTACACACAAAAAGAGCGGAGGAGTGCTTAGTGGTCCGTGGAGAGGGGCAATTTTGCACCCATTTAAAGAATAGTTTATTGTGTGCGGAGCAGAGGTCGCGGGTATGTATTCACGTAGGCGTGTTTTCACAACCAAATCTTTTCATGGTACCTGGGTTTTCGCACAACTTCTTGAGACGAAGGTTTTTTAGGAGTAAAATGTTTTAGGTCTCATGGTTTTTATAATTAACTTTCTTTATATTATTTCCGTGGATAATTGCAAAACTCCATCCCCTTCTGCCTTCTTTCTCTCTCTCTCTCTCTCTCTCTCTCTCTCTCTCTCTCTCGTATCTCTCTGGCTGTCTGTTTGTCTCTCTCCCTCTCTCTCTCTCTCCCCCTCTCTCTCTCTTTCTATCTCTCTCCACACTGTCTCTCTTCTTGTAATAAGTCCAATTGACAGACACGCAACATAAAAGAAAAAAATCTGCTATAGTTTTAAAGGCAACGTTTTATAACATCTTGTAACATGCCAATAAACATATCACATTCGCA